CCCTAAATACACATGTCGGGGTATCCACAATCTGTTTAAATTTCTAATGTAACTTAGTAACTCTATGTAACTGCAGCCTGATCATGTAATATGTACCGTATCACGGAGCCACAACTGTTTGTTTATAATAATCGATGAAAACTGTTACAAATATTTTTACCGGCCCATATAACTTATGAAGTGCAGCGAGAGAACGATTTTTTTCTTTTTTGTTCCACTATATTTTTGCCAACTAGTACGGCTCGCCAATTGAATGGGTGGTACAGATGATATTTTGAGATATTACGGTTCGAAGGGAGCGCATTCGTATGAAAAATACATGTATACCAAAAGTGTGAAACTAAAGAACAATCGATGAAACATTTCGAAATCGAAAGATCAATATGCGTAACGATATTTCGAAGAACCGAACTATGAGGATCAGAAAAACGGTGATCGTGAAAAAACCGAAGAAACAAAAGAAATTAAAAATAACTAAATTTAAGGAAACGACGTGTAAAGGAACTGGAACACCAGAACGCCCGAAAACCGATTTCTGTCTCTGCCACTACTATTAACTGCTACGTCTACTTCTTTTCCTCGGCATATGTTCTGCATAATGTATTTTAATCCAGATTCGGCCCCCCCCCTATTTTTGAAAATTTAGTAGCGTATTTTTAACTAACCCGTTCTTTTACAAATGGTTCACAGCACCGCGGTAGTAGTGTAAAATGATCGAAAAGACGTTTCGGGGACTAGTTTTCCGCGGGAAGACCCCTCTCCGCCCTTCCTCTCCGTGAGAGAGGGGGCGGTGGATAAAAAATCAGGTCTCGAAAAAACTACTCTTTTGGAAGCGACTCGAGTAGCGTAGTTGTCTTGGAAAATTTTTGTACAAAAGAAGAAACTAAAAGAAAGTACACTCCGATCGCGACACGCGTGTGGTACGCAACCTTATTCTCTCGTTATGACACGTTTTGCACCGGAAGTACGTTCCTTCGAAATCACAGTTTTACCGGCTTTTTTGGCCATGTGTACACGTTTGTTGGTTTTTTTGTTCTTTTTAAAAAAAAAAAGGGACCCCCTCGAGAGTCCACGCACACTTTTGTTTTCTTCCTCTTAAAAGAATTTCGAGTGTTCTGTTTTACCGCACGTAGGTATTTTACAAACGACGCCCAAATACTTCTTAAAATCCAGAAAATTGGATCGTGTCACGAGAGTAGTCAGTCTTGAAAGAAAGAACCGAAAAAATGGGTATGGAGAAAAATTCTGATTGTGTCTGCGGCGGAGAGCACCCCCCAAAATGGGGGCGCGCCTTGCTTACCCCCGGGGGCTAAACGGGTCTTTTTGAAACTCTTTCGGATCTCTCTCTTTGTTTTTCTCGCTAGAATATATTAATCTCTATATAAAAATAAATGCTTCTCGAATCATCAACGATAAAGATCATAAAAAAACGATTCAGATATGAAACTTCTCTCTTTCTATATATATATACAAAAATGCAGACGCGGTTTTGTCTCTGTGTATGCAGCGGCACTCGAGGATACTTTAAAAAATCGTTTTTTTTTTCCTTTTGTGGTCTCTGCTCGAGGTACGAAAGTGAAAAGATCAATGGTGAGGTTTTTTTTTTCCTGAACCCTGGGAGTCCGTCCCTGAAAACCCTATTGCAAGAAACCACTCGCCGGATTTTCAGGGGCGATGTAGATCGCGCCCGAACGAAACGCGGTTCGCTCTCTCTCTCTCTCTTTCGCTTGTCCTGCCTCTCTAGTTTTGTTGTTTTTTACTTTCCTTTTTTGTATGTTCGTCAAGTGAAGCTGCTAACTACGAGTTGAAATAGATTTCATTTCGAAATGAAAAAAAGAAACACGACCAGCGCGCGGATCAACGCTTTCGCTTTCAGCGGGTGTGTAAAACCACCTACTTGTATGTAATGCTCGCGTCTTTTCTATTGCGGAAAAAAAGGGAACAGCGTCACACAAGTAGGTGTGCCTGGCAACTACATTTTTCCGGGTTTTGTTTTCTTTTCACGGCCACTAACGTAGGCCGAGACGCACAAGACGTTACATCAATTAGAAATTGAACAGAAGCGAAAATGGTCTGAATACAGAATTCTTCGGTTTGGTTGTTTTACATTTTCCGTCTATCGTCTCTTTTCGCCGTGAACTCCCAAAGAAACCTCGTGATTAGAAGCTGTACACCCCTTGGCTCCAGTTACCGGAATGTATTAACGTATTTGTATTCGGGACACAATTTTACATTTCACCTGAACTGCTTCAAAGCGGTTTTAATATTATAGTTGGGAAATAGACGGTGGTGCGCGTATGGTAGCCAAGAAGCTCTACGTTTATATCTTCACACCAGATGCAATCTTCCGGTAGATTCTATATGTTGTCAGCGGGAAAACGGTAGATAGTGAACCTGAATTATGACGTTTCTGAAAGCAAGCGAAGTCGCCTTCGCCCGCTAGGGGAGGCGGTCTAACTTGCTCGCGAGGAGCCTTCTCCTCGGTGATTTATAGATCTTTGATACTTAACTTTTGCAGAAAAGAAAGACATCAAAAAATAGAAAAGCGGTAATCGAAATCGCCACGGAATTCGATTGTTGGATTGTTCTGTTTTGGATTCTCTGTCTCCGCGCTTAGACTAGTAACATCGTGTATCCCGGAAAGGTACTTGTAACTCTACTCCGAACATCTCTGATCTGTTTTGTTTTTGCGTCGGATCTGCAGGTAATATTGGACGTTCAGCAATTCTCACCGGAAGAGATCACGGTGAAGACGGTCAGCAATAACATCATCGTCGAGGCCAAACACGAGGAGAGGCAAGACGAACACGGTTATGTCAGCAGACAGTTCGTACGCAGATACGTCTTGCCCCCATCTCACGATGTGATCAACATTACCTCGAGCCTTTCTTCGGATGGTGTATTAACTATCACGGCACCCAAAAAGGTAAGGAGACGAAGAGGAGGAATAGGGCGGCGGCGACCCCGACGAATCCAAAGGATTCGTCCGTTGCCCGTCGATCAACTGATCCTCTCCTCTAGATTTTGCCCTTTCGTTTCGTTTTTGCTTTCGAGATTTGACAATTTCCAATGATCCGGGCGTGCCCCTTGTGGTATTAGAGAAGATGGAGTGCCGACGTTTTATCTCGAACAAACTACGAGTCTGCTCTAAACTATAAAAAGAACGGTCTGGCTGTATTAAAAAACTTTTTTTTTTCACTGATGAGGCACATTCATGGATTACTGATATGCGCGTTTAAGCGACTTTAACTCGATACTCGGGAAGTTTGAGAAATTGAATCGATAAACAACAACAACAGAATGTTCCTCATCGGAATGGTAAATAGGGTACTTTCAGATTCTCTCAATACCGAGCAGACATCGTGAAAATGCTTTGGTTAAATCTAATTTAAACACGGAGACTAACAGCGACATTACTGTGCTGATCTACAAGGCCAAAGTGACGCTACAGTTTTTTCAATTTTTAGTATTAAAAGGTTCCATTCGAATACAGTAATTTCAATATAGTCATATAGATATAGTGTCATATAGTAATCTTAGTATAGTCATGTGGATATAGTATAATGTATAGTAATCTCAATATAGTCGTGTGGATATAGTATAATATCGTAATTATAGGAGATTCATACATTAAACTGCTCAAATTTCATATTCGATCCCTAGTCTTGGGTGCCAATTCAATTGAAATGTTAAAGTAGCGACACCGCGAGCCGTAATCTTTAAAAAGAGAAGGTCACGATTTAGACTGTGCGCGCTTTTTAAAGAAAATCAAAAATGCTGGAATCGATGAGTATGAACAGAGATTCTAAAACATTAATCGTTAATGATCAGTCGTGTTTGTAAATAATGGCTTTAAATATTCAGATATAATCATTGCATTGAAATAATGCTCAATGCTGTTTTGTTTGAAACAAATTTTGTAATTTGAACAATTATTCAAAAAGTACAGACAACTCTTAGGATGGAAACCCAAAATCTAAAAAATACTAACGACCTTGCTTATCTCCTGACATTTAAAGCTTTTATTTACTCGAACAATTTAGTCACGAACGATTAATCTACAATTTCTTCACACTCAAAAATTCTCGCATTTGGATGTCGATTTTATTTAAGAAGAGCTAATTCCGATCGTAATCTCCCCTTTGGTATTTTAACATTTAAACAAAGCAATGTACTGGTGTTTTACGTAAGAACACGTAACAAAGATAATTGAAATATGTCGATCGAACGACCGCTTACCTAATGCATGTACCTCGAAGTGCTCTTCTCAAACTGTTCGAAATATGGGGAAATTTCAAACTAGTCAGACCAAAATTATCGTTGCGTACGGACTGTTAAAGCACCGACCCCGTACGGTGCACTATAAAAACACAAATATATAAAAACCTCGTTGATTTGTCCGCGATGTCATTGAACAACATTTTTTTTTTAGGGCGAGACACCTAGCGGAGGCGAACGAGTTATCGAAATCGTCAAGACCGGCGAACCGGCCAGCAAACCGGTCAATGTGGATACTACCGATTAGAAATAATTTTAGCCCCCCCCCCCCAAAAAAAACAATTCATAATTTGTCTACCATTTTCTATAATGTATATTTTTATATTAAATTCTATGCGATCATATACAACATATACCATAATGTAGTTGAACATTTGATAAATTTTGTAATACGATATCATATAAAAGGGACGAATATATAATATTGTTCATAAATTCAAAATATTTGCAACGAATTGCTCATTCAGACTTATCTTGCAGCAGAATGTACAATATTACGTTTTCCGTAGACATATGTACATATTTAACACTCTGACTACCACGTCATCCAATGAGTGACAATGTAATAGCAAAAAGGCTGGATCATTTAAATACCGTTACGAAATTTTCCGTAAAATTAATATAGTATCATTTAAAATAAGACCAACCCAAGCCTTTATTAACTAAACACATGTATTTTTGACGATTTATGGCTTGAACCGGAGTAAAGTGTGTCTGGCTACTTATAGCCTTTTTCACTGTGGCAGTCAGCAATATTAAAACTGAACAGAATATGTTCCTCGATACTACTTCTGATTTACAGTAGTTTTGAAACGATGTAATTTAGCAAGTGGTTTCAATTAAGAACAGTTCGAATTATCAAAATATTCTATGATTCGGAACGAATGTAAAGATTGAAAATCATTCTGTGTAAAGAAAATATACAAACATAATAACAGTTAATAATCCACTGAACTGTAATGTTCGTATAAAATCTTACGCAGAATGCTCGTCCAAGCCTATCAGTATCCTTACACTCCATCTGAATTACTGTGTGTATAAACGCTATCGAAAAAAATTCGAATATCAAACACCGAATTATTTAAAATCATGTAAATTCAGAGAACAAGTCCTACACTTTCTATCGCACTGTCAAATTGAAAAACCAAATAACTACCCCAAGTCAGAAGTACCATCGAAACAGCATTCAAACCAAGAACAAAAAATGGTAAACCAAAACTACAAACAAAAAAATAATAGTAAAAAAAAAATGTATAAACAATACCTACGGTTAACTGACGCGTTCCGCACCGGAACCCTCTCGTCTACATTTTCTCGTCCTGTTGTGTCAGCAGCCTCGTGGACCATGTAAAAGAAGCGGAGGTCTATTCACTGGTGGATGGGTCTTCGGGTTTTCGTGGTGTCTGAACTGAACGAAAGTTGATTTACGAATGCACCGAGCAACCACGGCCGGCCCTCTTATATAGGCCCGCGGCGGCGTCGCAGCGCCGAACGTTCGAGAAGTTGCACCGGCACCCGGCGCCCGGCTAGTAAATGCGCATTTCCCTATCGTTTATAATTTTCACACTTTTCACGCTGTTTATCCGACGACCACCGATATCGTCGGATACCTCGTGTCTAGAACTATCGTTTGACACCCCTCCTGTGGCGGTTCTTAATGATTTACAGGAAAAATTAAGGAAATACCAAGTATTGATCGGCGAAACACGCTTCGAACTTTCTGGCACGTTCTCCTACCAAAGCCCCACCATAACCTAACCCACCCGGGACTGCATTTCCTCCTCCTCTTTTTCAAGCGGTAAAACGGTTACGACGTACCTGCACGTTGATATAGAACCATGCAGCCGGTCACAATTTGTTTGTTTTGATCGTTAGGTGGGAAGGGTCGCTCCCAGGGAACCGCCGCGCAGTTTCTGGAATCAAGGGCGAACTGAGGTTGTCCTTCGTTGCGTATTTCTAGAAGGTGTTACCTTTTCCAGAAATTTCTTCTAGAGGCTTTGTTGTTAATTATGAGAGTACGGGAGGAATGTGCGAGATGAGCAGCATTTTTAGATATGTATCTTGTGAGGAGTACTCGAAAGAAGTCGTGTACTCGAAATTGTGAAAATAAAGAGGACAGTATCTCTAGTGTTAGTGATTTCTAGAATGTGCATTTTCATGCAATTTTACGTTTTATGAGCCAATTCGGGAAATCAGAAGTTACATACAAACGTACAAATACAAAACAGGACTTGAATATAAAATTTAATTAAATATCTTTTCAATGGAGTATTAGTTGCTCACGTTCATTGATAAACTCATAGTAGAATGGAGTACATAAAAATGCAACGGAAATAACATGACCTTGCAAATATAGATGCAACTTAAGGTCATCAGGTTTCTCTTGACGTTTATTTTTAGCATTTCACTCAGTAAGGCTACATCATTCTCGAAGTCGTAACAGTTTCAATAACGTAATCGGCATTCGGTTATCAGAAGATTTTGAAACGATAACTATGGAAAAAAAAAGGATAAATAAAATAAATATGATATTCGGTGTTTTCGTAGACTATATAATTTTGATTACGAAATATATGAATAAACGAAGTTTTAGATAGTAGAACACTTGTCTAACATTAAATAATAAGACATTTAAATAAGAAATAACGGAGGGAAACATGATTTAGTTAAAGATTCACGGCTCGTCAATTCTTCTAATGATATTAAAAATTTCCGTATTTGGTACATTAAGATACAACGTAAACACACCGGTGGTAGACTTACATATATTAAATTCTATAACAATATACAATACGTTCATAATACAGAGTTCGAACAAGAAAATATCAAGGTAATAGAATATTCAAGTAACAGGAATAGTTAAAAGAGGTTCCACCGTGTTCAATCCAAAACTGAAATAATATTTCAGTCTGTGCAAGTAAACACATGTCAAAGTAACTAGTCAATTGAATAATCACCAGCATGAAACCTTATATAGTCTGTCCCTATCTATTCGACATCTATTATTCCAATGAAATTATGTCCATCACTGATGATCGGTATCAACTAGCAAGCTGTACATAGGATCAGATAACCTGCTAATAAGGCTTTTCTTGTTTCGTCTGGATCCTGACAATGCAGGACAAAAGTGCTCTTAGTACTGTAACGTGAGTATATGGAATTTGGATTTGACGTCGGTATTGTTAACGCATCTGAACGACACAGCGGACCAACAATGCGAAAAGATTGCGTAACCGTCGCAGTCCCAATCGGGATAACCTGCGATCGAAGGGACGGGAATCTGCGACGCAATTTTTCCACGTGACACGTGCCGTCGAAACTACTACGCAGTTGTCTAGAAACCCCTTGTCTCAGCTGTAACCGAATTTACCGACAGGAAGGCAAGATGAAAGGATGGCGACGACGAGTTTAAGGTCACTCGGAGGCGCGTCCGTGATATCGAAAGATGACGCAACCAGTGACTGCGTATTTACAAACACCACGAATTGCGTGACGTGTCAACGTTCCGCGTTTAATATGAATTCATAGTAAACGTTCACCGGAAAACGGGGACATCTTATCAGGAAGTCATTGAACTGGGATTTAATAAACACTCGAATGACGAATGGGTTGTTATTTGGCGCCTTGTCAAAAGTAAAAGGTGATTTTCTAACCGATGTAGATGCACAGTATTTTTTAATGTGACGAGTAGACCCTGGATCTTTATGGAAATATCGTTCATTAAAGATTTATTTATGGAACCTAACATCAAACTGTCTTTACTACGTCGAAAGTTCTATTAAGTCCCACGTAAAATAAAAATCGTACTAAAATATCTTGATCTTCTTGATATGTCAGCATTCATATCCTACAGTCTCCTGCTTTCAAATGACCCTAAAACTATTGATATAACACTAAATAAAATATTATTTACATTACCGTACACTTTGATAGGAAGCTAAATCCCCATAGAATTGTTAAATTTATACTAGGAAGAACATTTGAAATTTTACATACATTTCAAATATAAAGCACATTTGAGGATTCATCCAGTCCATACATAGTCCCTACGTTCCTCAAAACTCAGCCAAACCCTTCAAGGAGGTGATATATTATTGCGCAATACAGGTTTCTCGCGGCAGCTGGAGCTCTATCGATTTTCGTTGCGCATCTTCCGGTCCCCGGACGCGTACGTCTGGAAAATACGCAATTAATGTAATTTTATTCAAGAAAACCGGGGATGGGGGTCCTGGCAAAGACGCTGGACGTCCCCTAAGATCCGTGCCTTTGTGCGTTTTGCTCGCACGCATAATGGCCCCGTTCGACAAGGCGAGGATTAACTTTCAAGGGTGAGGAGCAAGGTGTCGGGTGGAAGCAAGTATACAATAATGCGCAGATGCTTCGATAAATTCGACAATGCAAAGAGGGGGGACAAGGGTAGAAAGGTTGTCACGAGGAAGCAGATGGAGACCGCTTGTCCACCGAATCCGTTTCCGTGGACGCATAAATGCGTGAAATCGCTGGCCAGAACCGTTCTCTCGTGCGTACGACATCGACGCACGTTCGTGTTACATCGAATAATGTAAATTTAGCGATGTCGGTTTGTGCAAGCACGAGGCCGACCGTATAAATTTAGAATGTAGGATGCAGGCAGCGATGCACGTCTTTGCGTGACTGGGTGCATTGTGACGTTTGTAACGTTCATCCACCCCGCGGATCTTTAAACTGCACGTTATCAACTACTGTCGTGTAGCGTGCAACATTGCTTTCAAGGACCGGGCCGTTGGAAAGAGAACTGAAGATGTTTAGAAAGACTGTTGATATCTGGTCGCCAAATAGTCTGAACAATAAGGTTATTCGGTGAGAATCGTAGGAAAAATACATCCAGATTGAAAGTGTGCATACCGGGTATTTACTACGGTCCGTTGGCTTCCAGACCGTTCTACAGATGGATGCAGCAGGTAATCAATAGCTGCAGCGGCGGAATTTCGTACGTATATGCACTGGGTGTTTCGTTATTAAAAGACTTTATATTTCCAGATATTTTCCAGGATTTATTCAGAGCAGAAAAGTAGTGTAAGAAATGTTTATGTAAATGTGTGACTGATATGGCCCAATTTCTATGATTCTAAAGTTTCTACGTTCCTTTTGAATTATTATTAGAATTTATTTTCTTTTTATAAACGTTTTCTCCCGTCTTTGTATGTGTTACAAATTGTACAGAGAGACATTTGACTTTATGCTAGGCAGATAGGTATGCAAATATGCGTCTTCCTTATACAGCGACGTGCTTTTGATCACGTACGCTCGAAACGCTTGATTCGAATGCGACAGGCTACATGATCATCCCTGACCTGGGTATGCAACTAAGCTTCTGACGGACTGTTAGAGCTATATTAAGTACAAAAGTGGGAAGCAGAAAATTATACATGTATGTAAGTGATCAATTGAGTTTATCGTGCTTGGAACACTTAGACCATAATGCAATTAGTGGTATGCAGTAATTATAGCCCGAGTACTGTCCTCGCGTTTTGTTGACATACTGGAGATCAAGCCTGTGGGTAAATCTGAAAGCAATTATTTGCTTTGATGCTACATCTAGCAAAGAACGAGTAACCCTTTATTAAGAACCGATAATGATAGGTTTGCGTTCGACGCTCGCAATATACATACATATAGCGCAATCGCAGATAATAGTCTGGGAAAACAAAGTTTGCACCATAGTTTTCAACCGTATGGAAACTTTTCCATTGTCACAGAATCTCTGTTGTAATTTGTGCAGAGTTTGATGTACATAAATAACGAGTGCAGGAGAAACTATAACAAGACAGGTGTAGCAAATTGTTTCCAGTAATAGTATTTTACATTTTCATTTGACAATGTTAATTACAAATGAAAACCCATTCGTGTTTACTTCCCCAGAAAAATAATCGCCAGATTCTCGAGTTAAAAATAATTTACCTAGAAATGACCTAGATGATTTCGTTCAGTGAATAGGATTTATTGTGCAGATCAGGTACGCAGATGTTTTCCAGATTCGAAATTCAACCCCGAACACTAGATGCACAGGTGAGACCGGGGATTTAAAATTCTAGAAGCATCTGTGAACCGCCCTGTTATCGATTCAGTTCCTGCCCAAGTCGTACCAGCGAGATCATCTGCGCAGTATTCTCACGACAGAAATCGACCCGAATGTAACTCTAGAAACGTCCGTTCTTTCGTTAAAAGTCAATTACATAACTTGTTGGAAATTGTAGGTACTGAGATCACGACGAGAAAGAAGTTGGGAGCTTTAAAACTGGGATAATATTTAAATAGCAACTCGGCATGGGGTACTAAGGTTTCGAAACGGGAATGTCTTTGGGGGATGTCATGGTGCTATAAATGACACCCTCAACGTCTGCGTTGGTCGTAATTGCCACGAAAAATAACATTCTCCTTATGGTCTTAGTTACACTAGTATATATTTTGTTCGCAAGAGTATATATACATTTAATTCTATAAACAAATATTAGTAAAATTATAATGTTTACAGTTTTTTGAGCTATTGTAATTGATTCTCGTGTTACCAGTAGACTGCGGATGTTTATGCAAATTCATACATTTATCTATCTACTCATTCATAAAAACCGAAAATAAATAGAAATACATGATCTTAAATAATGGTTTTTTACTAGATAAAAAAGAAAAAGTTTTTGTCAACGTGATTTGAGTTCTTATTTTCTTATTTATCATACCCGTTGCATCCGCTATGAATGCATAAAATCCACCGTCTCGTCATCAGTCGTAAACATGAATATATTACGACGATTATGTTTCCTATCATTCAATAAAATGATTCAAGAATTAATCTACAAATTCATCTTTTTAATACCAAATGACATATAGGCAGTGAAAATATAAAACATGTAGCCCAGAAAATGGTGTGGGAAGTGCATGATGTGGATATAATGGAAGAGAAATGAGCTGCGCGCCATTTTACAGTGAATAGAGACATCTCTGGTAGTTTCGTGAACTGTGTTTGAGATAGTACAGAAGACCTTTTACCGGCAGACGATAATTGAATGTACAGTAGATATTCATCTAATGTTGCCCCGTTTACTGTATCTTGGGAACGCCTTCCGTGTGTAACTCACATATTTTTAAATAAACTTTTCGGATACCTTTAAAAGTAACGGAGATATTAAAGTGGTGAAAAAGTGCTCACCCTATATTAAGCGCGTATGATTGGCCCTCGTTTATTGCATCATTCCTGGAAATTTAGTCCTCTACAGTTCCGAAAGATGCAATAAACGAATTCTACTGTACCTATTGTACGTTTCGTACCTCAGCGGCACGCTAGTGAACTACTTTATACACGAGTTCGAGCCTTTTGTTTGAAATTCTCTCCCCAGAACAGTGTGAATTCTCCTCCTGTTCCAGTTGCAATGGTTCCAAGACATTTATTGCTTGCATTTCCATTAAATTCCGCTTCTCGTTCAAACTGATCTCATCCTTCGGCGCAAACAGGAGCTGATACGTGTACGTTCCGAGTAAAGCGCCCAAAGTCGGTCCGATCCAGTAAATCTGAAGAAGGTTTCGTTAACGAATGATTATCAAGACTTATGATATAATCTAATCTGTGCAGTGTTGAGCAAATGTTTGCACATCACTCTCCTGGAATCTATTAAGAAATGGAATTGGAACCGATAACGTCAGCACAGTAAATCTTAAAAGCAACCGAGACTCGTGTCATTTATCGGAAAATATTAAAGATTAGATCGTAAAATAAATAGATTGCGTAATTTATAATGCAATAGACTGGTAAATCATCGGGCGACATCGTAAATCAATCACTTAAAAAGATTTGTTGACTCACCCACTGATTCTTCCAGTAGCCGTTAAAAAGGGCGGGAGCAAAAGTGCGCGCAGGATTCATGCTGCAGCCTGTGTAGGGAGCCTGGAAAAATGTTTCGACTTGATATTATCATAATCTTATACAGAATCCGAAGCATAGTGTATAGTCGTTAAATTTTTGTTTCTGTGACAAAAATATGTCACGATCGCCACGAGTTTGATCCTAAACACTGGCGTTATAGCTCAGCCTTTGAGAGTTATACATATGACTATATAAATACATAGTTCGGTCGGAAAAATCACGCAAGAAGTGAAATTTTTTCAGAATTATACGTATGTAGGGTGTATCGTCGAGTGTTTGGGGGGAAACGAAGGTCATAATAGCAATTTTAGTGACTACTTTTTTATTCTTGGTTCATAAAAGCTATAGTGTCTCAGAAAGAAATTTGTAAAAGAGTACTTACCGCTGCGAGTGAGATACCGACAACGGAGAAACCGAACCTGAGCGCCGTGGAATCGGTGGTATGAGCGCATCTTGGGTCCCAGGTAGCGCATGCCGCGCAAAGTATGAACGAGGTGCAAAGTATCTCGATTAAAACCGCCTGCGAAATGCTAACACCTTCGTGGACGACGGTCACGCAAAATCCAGACGTCGAATTTGGGTTCCCATCGTGAAACAATTCTGGCGGGGTTATCATCTGTTCTAGACGAATCACGCTTGAGTCTGTGTACGGTCGAAGGAAGTACTAATTAAATCCGTACCATTAGCATTCCGTAACCAATAGTGGCGCCGATGAATTGACCCAACACGTAAACGATTCCGGTCGGAATGCTTTTAAGCCCAACGATAACCGCGCCTATCGTGACAGCTGGATTCAGGTGAGCACCACTTACGTGACCCAACATCTGTGACAGAAGTATAGTACAGTGTAATTTAGACAAAATAATGGAGGTACGACGAGGACCGGGGTGCGCAAATTTGTAGGCTCAATGCAGTCCTCAAAATACACTATTAGAAGTACTGGGTCAGTGCAAAAGTTTTGATGGAACTTCTGCAGATGATGCGATCGCCACTATGTTGTGGAAATAATAAACATTTATATTAATATAATATATGTCGATGTCAATGTAACACAGTGAATTGCTGTTTAGAACAAAAGATTGACGCGATTCAGTGGGTTCTATCGTTTCAGATAAAACTGAAATTGAGCTGTTGAAAAGAAATTAAAAAATGAAAGGGATAAACGTTACAAACACTGTGAAAAACATTTGTGATTTGTTTAGAAAAGCTGTTATATGAATCCCATTCTGTGGTAAACTGTACATTTACCCACATAATTTGATTATGTAAATTCACAGAATAATAATACTTCAAAAATTTTTGTATTAAAATAAAAATTTCTATGGAAAATATACAGGGTATATGTAAGTAGTGGTACAATCGGATAGGAGGTGATTCCGAGGGTCTGTTCATTACATTCCGTTTCTACTTAATGCCATGATGAATACAAGCCTTTCAGATTAATTTTCAAAGTCGATTTTCTCGAAAACGAAGTCTTAAATGAAGAAAATTTATGCTATATTTCCTGCTTATTTTTTCGCGTGGGTCATCCTCTAGTCGGTTGTACCACCAGTTATATGACACCCTATACATATATTGTACATTTTAATTGTACCTGAAATATCTTGTAATGAATACTGTTTACACAAAGTAGAAATAAAAAAAATACTGAAACTATCATCAATCAATCACAGTTATTTGCGGAACTTTTGTTACTAACTCACGTGATCTCACCATGATTAAAAGATTAACTGTCATACCAAACGCCATGGACGTTTGTAGGGGTGGCGGTGGTGTGGCCCCCATGGACCCGATGCCTCCCATGCATCCAACAAATAAAAGTATTCCCGTACCCACCACCTCTCCAATAAACATCGTGGTCGTACCTTTTTGAAAGATCCATATCGAGTCTGAAAAATACGAAACATTTTACATTTTAGTCTTTCGTCTCGATTCCCGTATAAGTCCCACGTAAGCTCACTTTGCGTTTTCTCTGCCATGGTACACCAGCGAGCCACTCGATTAAACTAAACAGTAACCGTTCCCGTAACCGTTTTCTCCTAATCTCCACTCGAATTACTTTAACAATACTAATCAGCGGCTATCGCGTTTCTCTATTTCATTTAAAAACCCGCCACCTTATCGACGACCGATGTGACGTTGATGTTGCATTCTTCCTCGAATCAGTGCTCGACCGGATCTCAAGAGGAATTACAAGAAAATGTTCGTGTCTTTGGTATTTCAATACCCTCGCCGTAGGATTAGAAATCGCATCGAACGATTTCGAATCGTATTGTAATCTCGACGTACCACGTGTACCTTCTATCATTCATACAAAATACGTCGACGTCGTTGATAGCGCCCTGACGGTCAAGCCAGTCGCGACTCAGTTATCACGGTTAGATTATGGAAAATCATCAAAATAGGAGAAAATGTTCGATCGAATTATAAATCGCGATTTAATCATGGGAAATTGCTGTAGACAGGGACTCTCGCTAGAAAATACAATACCGTTGATTGTCATGTTCGGTCTTACTTCCGCGGTATTCGAGCACAGTTACAGTGGTTTAAGGCTGAATTTCCATGAATTCTATATCAAACGTTAATGCATCTTGCAATTGCAACGGATTGTCGACGGAAAATTGTCTTCCGGAACTTTTTCACGCAAGCGCAAATGGACTGTTCCGATCGACATTATGCCTCACCATTCCCAGTCGCTGAACTGACCTTTCAGGGATCGTTCAAGGAAATATGACCGACGCTCGAAATCCTCCGAGTTATCGGAACGTCCATTATAAAGTTGACACCGAGTACACGGTCCAGGTAGCCAAGAACTTGCTGACGCCGCTCGGTGTCTGGCCGTTGCACAGAGGCGATTTGTTCCTGGACAACGTGAAATCGTTCGTTCACATCGGAACGATCTTCAGCCTGATGTGTTTCCTGCTAATACCCCATATAATTTACACCTACCACGACGTTGAAGACCTGACTCGGTACATGAAGGTGATCGCCGCTCAGGTGTTCAGCTTCTTGGCGATCGCCAAGTTCTGGACGATGGTCATCAACAAGAAGGACATCAGATTCTGCCTGACAGAGATGGAGGCGCATTATAGGGACGTCGAGTGCGAGGAGGACCGGCTGGTAATGAAGAATTCCGCGAAAGTAGGAAGATTCTTCACTACCCTCTATCTGGGTCTGGCTTACGGAGGTGCCTTACCCTATCACATCATTCTACCTTTAATGTCCGAGAGAATCGTGAAAGCTGATAATACGACCCAAATACCGTTGCCTTACCTGAGCAACTATATTTTCTTCGTGATCGAAGACTCGCCGATCTACGAGATCACTTTCGTCTCGCAGATAGTGATCAGCAGCATCATATTGTCCACCAATTGCGGGATTTACAGCCTGATCGCTACAATCGCCATGCATTCTTGCGGGTTGTTTGTGGTTGTCGGCAGACAACTGGATACGCTGCTTGAATACAAACAGGATAAATTATATGACCGGCTGCGGAACATCATTCTACACCACCTGAAAGCGATTGAGTGAGAGAAATACAATATTGTTATTCGATCTACCGCTATAATATGGTAAATTGGACATTTTTACAGTTTTCACTGTTGAGGCTTTCGGGTGTAAGACGTGTCCTTGTTGAATTGTTTTCCCAACGTTGCGCAAGCATTGCAGCTAGTTTCATCAGGGGGTCGAAGGACACAAGGACACCGCTTACACCCGAAAGTCTCAACAATGAGAACTGTATGATGCCGGGCGGTGAAAGCTTCAAATCTATGATTGGACATTTTTGTTACGAATTTAAAAGTCGAAAATGAAAAAGAATTTATCAGGCGCAGTGCACTCTTACGATATTACCGCTTGGTTTATGGCCACGGTGAATTATTCATTGGAATACATATCATAGTACTTTTATAGGTAAAAATTATACTCTATTCGTGTTATTTACAAAACCAGACACATCAAGAGGTTTTCATGCATTTTAATTATGTACTTGAGTGTTTTGTTAGAGAGAATCATCCGGTTAACAAGTTAATAAATTTTTCTTTATCTTGAAGTAGAATGTAATATCAATAGGATGATCATGTAATAGAAATTCGGATTATAGATTTGCTGATACAATCGAGATGGCTTTGAGTACTGTGTTCCTCCTGGAAATGGTCGGCTGCACCATCATCATATGTTTCCTCGAATACGGCGTGATTATGGTATTGAAAAAAAGGCAATTAACCCTTTCTGTACGGACGCAGGTCAGTTCTGATATATTGAAATTTTAAGCATCTCACACGCTGCCGAGTATCCTGAAGCCTATTAAAACTACATTCCTCAAAGCAAAATATTTAAGATGTAATATACAGGGTGTTCGACAACATGTGTCAGAAACTTTAAAGGGTGATTCTACGTGCCAAATTAAGAAAAAATTAAAAATAATGAAATTGCGTTGAAGGCTTCATTTCTGAGTTATTAATTATTGAAAATACAGTTGAGAAACATCTGACGCGGGGGCTTAGAGCTTAGACTACTAGTCCGGGAGCCAACGACACATTTTTTGGTCAATTTGCTCAAGGTTGATTTATGTTTTATTCGACAGTATTTGTGCTACACATTGAGGAAACGACCTCCTGCCAGCACGGTAGCGGAACAACGCTTGACAGCAGCGTGTCAACCATGTAAAAAAATCTCGCGGAAAACCTTATTTGCTCAAACTTGAGTATTTTTCCACTTATTACTGACACCATAACACGACGAAAAATGACCTCCCGCCATGTTAATAGTGGAACGGCATGCTCCTGCCAATCGCATAAACATGTTAAAAAAAATAACTCGATTGTCTAAAATGCTCAAAGCTGAAACTTTTTTTAGTGATAGTTTAGATCATGAAATGGAAGAAAAAACCTTTGCTGCCAGTCGTATCGCGGAACAAAAGCCTTGGCAGGAGCAATTAAAAGTACAGCGTATCGCGCCGCGTCGAGTTGCATTTACGAGACGTATGCAATTCAACGTTAATTTTCTCAACTGGTAGTCAAATGTTTCTCTGAAAAAAATTTGAAAAAAATTTGAAAAAAATTTCACTACGGAGAGATCGCATAAGTTTTAAAGATCTATAATATTTTTCAACGATCAGTCGTTAAAAACGACGTTTTTTTTTTACTGGAGTTTACGGCAATTTTCACAACTGATTTTAGTCGACCGCTCGATAATGTGTTAACAAAAGAAAGGAATTACTCATGAAACAAGCAAAATAAAATTCTCTTGTAATGTTTTGTTCTGGAGTACGTATCAAAGAACTTTAGTACCGATCAGAACTGATCGGGCCTACGCCCTGCGTGCGATTATTTCGCGGCAAGTTATCTAAAGGATAAGAGAAAGACGAATATAGATTATAATTATTAATCCCTTTCAAGGAATGGGAAGACCACAAGATACTCAGCATGATGACATATGTTGTGCTAATGACATCAATATTCGTGAACGTGTTCATAATATGTTTCATCGGCGACTGTCTCAAACAAGAGGTGCTTTTCATGAAAGAAATTACATTAAGGTATACACTGCGATGATCTCGAATAACATGTTACCTTTTCATTAAGAGCGAGAAAGTGGGAGAAACATCATACCTCCTATCGTGGTACGATCTTCCCGAGGACATAATCAAGAGCTTAAAAATGATTATCGTCCGAACAAGTCGACCAGCGAATCTGTCTGCCTCAAAATTGTTCGAGCTATCGCTTCAAGCATTTTGCGACGTAAGTTATGATAAACTGATTTTCAACCTAAAAATGACCTTGGTACAGACAATAAAATAATGCAGGTTTGCAAAACCTCGGCGGCGTACCTGAACTTCCTCCGAACAATGACGTCGTGAAGAAGACTTGTAAGACTTGTATACTCGAAAGATTTTCATATTTAAATACGTCGAACGAAGTGTAAGAGGTAACACTATTTAAGTTGTTTTATATCGGATCGAAGTATGATATTCGTCGTTGCACTCGACATAATCTCATTCAACTACTTAGAAGAATAAACAATATAACAGAACATGTGTGCAGGATTATGTTTTATTCTATTTACTTAGAACTACAAATGAGAAATTATACGAAATGTTTACCGTGATATTACGATTTTCTCTAGACTGTAAATTTAATCGACAACGGACGAACGCGACACGCGTGTGTCGCCCCTTCGTGGGCTTTAGTTCACAATTATTGGCGCAGTTCAACACAAAACTCGTTCTCAATCCGTCTAAACTTTCCAGACAATGAAAAAAAATACAACAGGTGTAAGCCTATAACAGAGTTTGCACTGTACTGTCAACGGTCCGTTGTAGAGGACATTCAAGAAGGAATTTAATATTTCCAAAAGATCCAGGTACGTACTATTAGTATTTAATTCTTTACAATATGACTAATGAAAAAACAGCCAATGATTTTGGCATAATACTAAACAGTGTCTTCGATAACACGCACCAAAAACTGTAAGGGATGAATTCTACTCGTACAAGCCAAGCTAAGACGATAATTAAGAATAACGGAATTATATTAAGGCGTGCTTTCCAAGTTATTAATTATGGACACTACGGGTGAAAAACGTCTGACACGACGGCTTAGAGTACAGTAAACTAACGTTAAAGTAGCGGACGTAGGGGGTTCTTTACAGGTAACTACGGCACTGACGAACATTGACCGAGACCGTGAATCAGCTGGCTAGCGCGCGCCGGCAGTAGTCTAACTCGTCGCGGCAGAGCTTTTTTATCTGTAACTTCGACAGTTAATAACTCGTAAACGAAGCCTTTAACAGAATTTCGTTATTCTTGATTTTCGTCTTATTTTCGCATGGAGAATTACAAGTTAAAATTTTTAACACTGTTATTGAACACCATGTGTTCTGTGGAACAGCGTTTTGTAAATAGAGGGAGAATTGCATATTCCCAAATATAGAATAGGTACATAGAACGTAGTGGTGGGACCAAATTCAATATGACAGTGAATTCTATATCGTCGTCGACTACACTTGATTCTATCAATAGAGAGCAGTAGAAACGATTTTGGCTGCATATTATTAGCTGGGAAAAACCGTATAATGGATTAGAGATGACGATGCGATTGTATCAGAGAAATACTGCACACTATACGGGGTGTTATATAACTGGTGGTATAACCGAGTAAGGAGTGATTGTATGTGAAAAAATAAGTCGAAAATATAGAATAAATTTTCTTGATTTGAGACTTCGTTTTCGAAGAAATCGGCTTTGAAAATTAATCTGAAACGCTTGTATTTATGATGGTAGTAAGTAGAAACGGAATGCAATGAACAGACGCGGTAGCCAAGTCCTATTCAATTGCACGCGTACCCAGCAGATTTTCAAAGTCGGTTTTCTCGAAAACGAAGTCTTAAATGAGAAAACTTGATTCTATATTTTCGACTTATTCTTTCACATAGAATCACCCCTTACCCGGTTGTACCACCAGTTATGTGACACCTTGTATAATATATGTATAATTGGAATTGATCAGTGGAGGATATGTTACTTCTTCTTCTTCGTAACATATTTAAAGAATTATATAATCATTAAAACAAACACATAATATATGTAGACGTAGATACGTTTCAGGTATACAGTAACTAGAGATCAAGATTGGAGATAAAGCCACAGTGTCACTTAAGCAATTCAATGGGTCTGATAGTCAGATAAAATTTAAGAAAACCCGTGTTGAAGATTAAACTTTTTACTACTGCTGTTTACTACTGTACAGACAAATACAATAACAGCTATCAAATCTAAACCGACTTTATTATATAACAGTATTATATTTCGGTATTTATTCACATACTTACACATATCTTACTTTTACGGTTCTATAAGTATCCAGTATTTTGTGCAGAATCAAGGCAATAATAATAATAATAATATGCACTGATAGCGGGTACTATCTTGTCTTAACGAAGACATTAGTGCAGACTGTGTTCTCTGAATTATCGTACGCACAAATGAGGTACGAACAACTCAGAGCAATACATAGATCACCATATGAGTGCCAACGTAGAATTTCAACTTGTAAGGCATCACTGCACTAAAACTGCACTATAATTTATGCCTGCTGGAACAAATTCAAGAAACTGAAGTGATCGCACAATTTTCCCCATTATTCCCGTGCAATACACAACACAACACGATGAACAACTTCATGGCTATTCTCGTCATCACAGCCAGATTGTAGAAAATAAGAAAACAATAATTTCACAATCACAGACGCATTACAGAAAATAACCAATATTCCATTGACCGTCCTCGATGGTTCAGCTCACGGTTTATTCATAGTAAATCCGTTCGTCGGCAATTGTAGTTTTACTTCAATATAGACATACAGGTATTAGCTGAAATTTTCCCATTTTTACCGTGCCCCCCGAGCTTCTGAAGATTGCAACGAATTGTTCGCGAGAAAATTGTCCCACGGAGTGTTCCACGCAAGCGTAAACGGGCGTCTCGATAATGTCGCGCACTGTTCTCAGTCGTCGAAGTGACCTTTCGAGGATCGGTTAGGAAGATGACCGACACTAAGAATCCAAATACCTATCAGAACTTCCGTCACAAGTCAGATTTCGTGTTCACGATCCGTGCCGCTAGGATATTACTGACACCAGTCGGTATCTGGCCGCTGGACAGGAGCAGTTCGATCACAGCTGACGTCAAGTCGATGATCCAGGTCGGAGTGATCTTCGGCTTGATGTCTTTCTTATTGATACCTCACGTGATCTACACTTTTCACGACTGTGAGGACCTGACACGGTACATGAAGGTGATCGCCGCGCAAGTGTTCAGTCTTTTGGGGATCATCAAGTACTGGACGATGATCTTCAAAAAGCAGAGGATCAGGTCTTGCCTGGTGAAGATGCAGATACAATACAAGACGGTCGAATGCGAGGAGAATCGACTGGTGATGAAGAACTCCGCCAAGATCGCACGATTCTTCACGACCATCTATTTGAGTCTCTGTTTTGGGGGCGCTTTGCCCTATCATATCATTCTGCCTCTGTTATCCGAGAAGATCGTCAGGGCGGATAATACGACCCAGATACCGCTACCTTACCTGAGCAACTATGTATTCTTCGTGATCGAGAATTCCCCGTTTTACGAGATCACATTCGCCTCTCAGATAGTGATCAGCACTATTATATTGTTCACTAACTGTGGGACTAACAGCCTGATCGCTAGTATGACGATGCATTCTTGCGGGATGTTCGAGGTCGTTAATAGACAACTAGAGACACTGATGTTGGATCAGCGGAGAGATGAAATGAAGGCCAGCCTCAGGAACGTTGTTCAATATCATCTGAGAGCAATCGAGTAAGAATGATATGTTATATGAATACCTTAAACGTTACGGTTCATCACTGAAAGCTTCCTTAATCCTTTCATTCCTAGATTATTTAACTTTGTGTATATTACATGACATATAAATGATTCATAAGAAAATTTAAACATTTTGAAAGCGTTCAATGCCATTTTTCATTCGTTGCAATCTGCCAACTTTTTTACTCTTTGACAGCTTTTTTACTTTTTTTTTAATTGTTCACAACTTTTTAGTTTTTGTATAAAGTTATTATACATAAAATTCATTTCTTTTCTTTTGATCAATAAACTCTCTCGAGAACTTTGAAAGAAATTGGAGTTTTATAATTTTTATTGCATTTCTAACAATGCTCAACACTCGAATTCCAGCAAATGAAAGAAACAAAGGACAGTAATGTCTTACTTTACCGATTAGCTTCTAACATACTCACACATATGAAAAAATACACGATACAGATATTTTATTTGGTAATTTAGAATGCGTAGCCATATAGCTATAATGGAAACGAAACGGATAATTGAAAAATAATAGGCAACCGTCATACACATTTTGTCATCTTTACCAATAAGTATAGATTATTATGATGTCTTGAAATGCAATCTTGGATCATAGATTTGCAGATATGATCGAGAGAAATCTGAACGGGATATTCCTCTCGGAAATGGTCGGCTGCACACTCATCATATGTTTCCTCGAATACGGAGTCATTATGGTACCAAAGAAACCCTGAAATATCAAAACTAGTAAGAAATAAGAAAGAAATACATTTCATTAAAAAATTTTCAAGGAATGGGAAGATAAGAACATTCTGAGTATGGTGACGTATTTCCTTCTGATGACCTGGATGTTCCTGAATGTGTACATATTATCGTACATCGGAAATTATCTCAAACAAGAGGTGTATTTCCTTAACCAAACCACATTAGAATATACACTATCGCAATTTTTAATATTACTCTCTTTCCATAAAGAGTGAGAGGGTTGGAGTAATGTCGTACTTTCTTCCGTGGTACGACCATTCCGAAGAAGTGAACAAGAATTTAAGAATGATCATACTTCGAGCCACCCGACCGACGTGCTTCACCGCCGCCAAATTTTTCGATCTGTCGCTTCGAGGGTTCTGTGACGTGAGTATCGAGAAATCAACATTTGATTCCTTTAAAATTTAAAGCAAAATAAACATAAATGTAACGCTGCAGGTTTTCAAAACCTCCGCGGCCTATCTGAACTTCCTCCAAACGATGACAGGATGAAGAATATTCGTAAGAGAACCATATTTAATGTAAATGTATGAGTTCTTTTATTCGTATAAAGAAAATGGAAACCATTTGGTCAAGTCTATAGTTCATTCTGTGAATGTTATTATGTTTTTTTTTTTCACCATTACTTTAATTTTCAAACGAGTGCATTTAAATATTTGCATTTGCGTGATGACAGTTGATGATTATTATTAATATTGAAACATTACAAATATTAATATTGAAAGATTTATTTCCGGATACTGGAAACAAAAAGAAATTTCTTTATTACATTGAAGGTTCTATTAGAGCCTACATAAAATAAAAATCGTACTAAAGTTCATTGAACTGTTTGATCTACTGAATTTCAGACAATCAGGCATTCTATAAATGAATAAAATTCGCAGTGTAATGATTATAGTCGAAGACAATCGCAAATCGATCTTACAATATTATTAGAAGAAATTTTGATTTGGAATAATAATATAGAAAGAATTATAAAAACAGCGTTGAATTGCCAAAGATAAACCGAATAACTCATATGAATTAGAGAAATAATAGTATTTATTCATTCATAACACTAGTTACTGGCAATACTAAAACAGAGGTGAGCTTCTGCTTCAGAAATAAATTTAATAAAAATGACTTAATCGTACGTTTTTCATTTTTCCCAGGAATATTTTACGACGTATATTTCCCTCTGGTCCGTGTAACTCGAGCTCAGAAAGACGTATGCACTCACATGCGCAATCCGTTCCTTCGCGTACTTTAATTGATTATAGGCAGCGTTCACCTCACAACTCGTTCCCGATGCGCGCAAACTTTCCAGACAGTCAGAAACAGGCGCCAGGTTGCGGCTGTAATAAAGTTTGTCGTGATAATAGGATTCCACAGAAATTGTACAGTGCTTCAAGATTTTTCAAACGAAATTAGAGGTACGTAATGTTTTGTATCTATTTTCTCGGAATGAATTTAATAACTCCTTCTCTTCTTTCAGAGGACAATATTTGCAATTGCATTTAAATATAAACAAATCTTTATGATAATCACGTCAGTACGTTCATCACTATAGATTGGCACTGTCTCCCGCTAAAGATTTCATGACCGCCATGTTTAATTACCCGACGACACTTGCGGCCAACAAAATGGCCGACGAGTCTTCAGTTTACACTGAACACAATTCCATTTAAATAACAATCATGTGTATAATGAAATGAAATAGTAGGTATCTAAAAAATTTTCATTTGCAAAGTCCTCAGAATATAGATGACGGTAGTTCTGCAATTTTTACTTCATCGTAAAATGTTGTTAGATGTTGCAACCTATTTTCTTTCCTCAGCGCACGCAATGTCGAGGCATCGATGTGAACACTATAAGATGGAAGGGTGGAATGTGTGATATTTAGTTGCTGAGGAGGGAGTAGACCCAGGTACACACTCCTCTGGATTATCGTCTGGTTTGTTCTACACGATTATTGTCCAGGCGTCATCCCCACCACTTTGGGGGGGGGCTGGAACCCGTCAAGCACATACTTTGTTGTCTCTCCGCTTTTGTTGCCAAGGCTTGGGCTTCGGGCAAAAAACAAATTTACGAAAGTTTAAAACATTTCTCCTTATAAAATTATTGTCCCAGCGCGGACCTGAGTTTGGGACGATAATCGAGAGGAGTCTGTACCCACCACTCGCATATGAACACTGACTGTCCCGAGGTTAGTATAAATTTAAATTTTTTTTTTGTACGGAAAAATTTTGATTGCTCCATTATACTGCCATTCCTGTAGTATTTTAAATACAATAAAAAATATAAATAGTAAAGATAATGTCAATTGGATCGAGACCACGAAACCCGTTTCGACTAGCTAGCCGAAAGATTTGAAGTCTCTAAGGACTTTTGTTAAATTTTCAAAGAGTATCGACACCCTTGGAAAATCTGAACTCCTTAAAAACCCTTTGAAGGATTGTGAAAGCTCTTCATAGGACTGCAAATGATCTCAGGATGTCTCGAAACCTAGTGAAAAATCCCATCAGATCCTGAGTGTCTTCTGGGGCCTACGATATGACTTTCCAAGGATTCCTAGGGGTTCGACGGTTGACGATCTTCTGCCAGTTTCCACCGTCTTCCCACAGTTACTCGAGAAAACGTATGTCTATTTTTCCCGAGACTGTCCCGAAAATGAGGAAGTTCTCCTTCAAGCACTTGGGAAGAAGGCGACGTAATTTCAACCTACCCTAAACCTTTCCCATGAAGATGTTATGCCCTGCTAGGCAAAAGTGCAAGAAACAGTAAGGGTCTGCTACAAAACTCACATTGATAGTTGTAATAAATTTGATTCATTACAATTCAACCACGTTCAATCCCAGGTATTTCTATAATAGTAAATGTGTGTACACTAGACAACTGCACTCACTGCTGCAAACATCCAAGTACTGGTTTCAATCGACCTACGAACGCAGTACACTAGTATTTACAGTTTCCAGATATCGAAGAAAGCAATTTATCGATGCTCAACAATCATCTTCGAGTGTGCACTTATAATGCATAGACAGGGTAGCAAGGAAGGGTTGAACCCTTGCCATCATTCGTCACCCTTCTACATTTTTCTTCGAGAGAAATCAAGGGTCATGCGCAAACGGGAAACACTATCTTTCACAGAACCGTCACCAGTAGAGATCACCTGTTAGTACCAAGCAAACATTCCCGGTTTAATGATGCGCGAAGAAGAAACAAAAGCTTCGTACCTGAGTCTTCAGTGGACGCGTTGGATTTTGATACCGTTCGGTGTCTGGCCGCATTCACCGAACACTTCGAAACAAAAGAAATACATTTGCCGCCTGATAAACGTTATTTGTTATTTTCTGATAAGTTTCCTTTTCGTACCCTGCGGTCTGTTCGTAATACTAGAAGTAAAAAACGTCTACTACAAGCTCAAGCTGTTCGGCCCGTTGAATTTCTGCGCGATGGCGTATGTGAAATACTACTCGTTAATGGTCCACAAAAAGAGTATTCGCGAGTGTATCAAACACATCGAATGGGACTGGAAGATGGTCAATTATTCCGAGGACAGAAACATCATGGTGGAGAACGCGATCATCGGTAGCAGATTGGTGAAAATTTATATCTTCTTCATGTACAGCGGTTTCGTGTTTTATTACATCGCATTGCCTATCAGCAATGGGAAAGTCACGGTCGAGGATCGGAATCTGACCTTTATTCCAATGGTGTTTCCCATCTCGAGATTGATAGTCGACAGCCGCCTCAGTCCAGGAAACGAAATCTTCTTTTTGATTCAATTTTTCGGGGGCATCGTGATCCACGGGATCACGGCGGCCGCTTGTAGCTTGGCGGCTGCTCTTGCGGTGCATGCCTGCGGACAGATGAAAGTCTTAATATGCTGGATGGAACATTTGATAGATGGTCGGGAGGACATGAGTAGATCGGTGGACGTCAGAATCGTGAACATCGTGAGGCAACATGTTCGAATATTGAAGTACGTAAAATTGATCTTTTATCTGATATTTCCATGAAATGTCAATAATTCGGATTACTCGTAATGACTATGAACATTAGACGTAACTTTGGTTCATGCACTATTCCATCGTATAAGAAATCCTTGTTTCGGTAAAAACTGACAAATATGAGTTGGCTGAGAGACTGAGAAAGCTTTGAAGAGGTGTGCTGTGGACAGAAACTATCAAGAAGGAAATTCTAAAGAGATCGCTAATGAAATAAAGATATTCGAAACTACTTATGAAGAGGTATTCGATTGGGAAGGGGTTCTATCGTTTGTATTTTATTCTGACGTATTGTACGTTAGAAAGAAAAGTAGTGATATAATAGTTTTCCAGAATATCCAAAAGGGAACTATTCAGTAGAATATTGTAATGTTCTTGTATAGTCGATGGTAACGATTTAGTGAGGTAGTAAATTTAGGTCGTAAATGGAAGCTCTTAGTAGAAATGTCTTCAATACATCAAAAAAATTTCAGCATTGATGTAACAAGAAAATTACTGTAGAAGAAAGATTCTTCGTACATACAGTACTAAACTAGTTCTAGATTAAGTACCACTCCTCTGGTGTGTCTCTGTTTTTAGCTACGTTGAATTTACTACTTTATCGTATCGTTACCATCAACTCTACATTTTAAAAAATTCTGTACTTGGTCCAAGTACTTCTAAAAATTTTCTCTTTTTCCACTGACGCGATTAAGTGTAACTCCCCGGTTGACAAAACACCTCACTATTGTGTTATCGACAATCAGAATTTTTGTATATGTTTTTAAGAAAACGTGATAATAATACTTATAAGTTAACAGTACTTTCAAACGACTGAGGCAGATTCAAACGTATCATTTGCTGCGGTGCATCCTTACTTGTTTGCGTAAAACAATAGTCAGACGTTTTGTCAACCGGAGCATATTTCCTAGTTTTACCTTCGTGCACAAATGTATGGTGAGAAGTATTACGTATCCATAAATTCAGAAGAAAGAGGGATTTCAAATCTCCGATTACAACATTTTGCTATTGCAGATTCCTGTTCACCACAGAGAAGACGCTGCAACAAATATCATTTGTAGAATTCGTAGGATCTAGCATTAATTTATGTCTTCTGGGGTATTACTTTTTCGTGATATGCATGTACGGTAGAAATTGAACTAAAGGTTTAAATGTATTGAACAAGATTCACAATGCGAACGCGCATTGTAGTTACATAGGAGAGCTCGTCGCTGAACAAGTAAGGGTGCAAAGTCTATACAATTATGTATAATTTATTTTATAAATTTAGAGATATGTAACTTCATTGACGAATCGGATGAAAAGATTTTGTACTAACATAGGCTTCTGTATGTATAATCCTGTCCTTGATTATTATCGAAACCTATTACGTTACTTTTTGTTACAAATGTCCTGTTTAAAATTATGTGATAACTAGACTGCGGACTTTTATGCACAATAACATTTTATTCCGTGATTCATAAAGCCAAGAGCAAAAATAGGAATTTCTTTCTTCTCCAAAGTATCTTACCGAATTAAGAATGAAATAGAAATCTCTTTGCATCGAATGAAACTTTTGTCTTTCATTGTATTTCACAGAGAATTAGCAGTTGAATAGCATACTTCCTTTTTTTTACGATGAAAAATTATTAGACGAAATTTATCCAGTAAATGTGATATCTTCATCGACAACGGAAATGTTAAATATGGCGGATAATTTTACAAACTTCTTTCAAATTCACTCTTGAACTACATATTTTATGAAACAACTGATAAATTTCTCTATATGGTCGCTAACAGTTGAAACACATCGACAAGACTATATTTCAACCCCTCGAATCAATTACAAAATAATCATTGCAATTTAACAATAAGTAAGGTTTTGTGGCGGGAGATTAAGCTGAATAAAATAGAAATGTTCCTCCTAACAGTGCAACCAGATCGGCGAAATGGCGTACATGATTGATTGGTACAAACTACGAGGGAAGAAAAGGCGATTTTTAACTCTGCTAATCATAATGTCTAATTCCTCGACGAAACTCACAGCCGGAAATATGGTCGCACTGTCGCTCAGGACGTTCGGTGACGTAAGTATCGCTGATAAATATCACCGACTATTTGTCATATAATTGAAAATATTTAACAAGAATCTCACCAATGGATAGGTTGTGAAGACGGCGGTCGGATTTTTGAATATACTGCTAGCGTTAACATGATAATTTCAATAATTTTGCATCGTTACATACTTTCACCGATGTCATGAATATTGAATAAGAATGAGATTTTGAGCATGGAAAGACTACCCTGTATATTACTATCAAAAATAAAGAATACATTGATACCCATAACCAATTAACTTCAAACATTTCATTCAGATCATATTTAATCGCTAGTACCTTCAAAACGATGAATTTGCAAGAAAACCAACATCACCCATTACACCCGTGAACAGCTGCAAAACTGCAAATCCACCAGCATTTCCAGTTCTCTGGCATCGAAGAAATCCATTAATCGATGTTCAACAATCATCCCCGAATCGCTACTTATAATGCATAGACGGGGAACCAAAGAAGGGTTGAAACCTTACAATCATTCCTCACCCTTCGATGTTTTCCATCGAATAGACTCAACAAATTTGCGCAAGCGCAACACTGTTGTTCTCAGAACAGTCATCAGTCTATCAGCTATTACTTCTAAGCGGACTTCCCAACTTAAACGATGCGAGGGCCAGAAACCCAAGTGAAAAATTCGAATTTAAGCCTTCAATGGAGTCGTTGGATGTTGAAACTGTTCGGCGCCTGGCCGTATTCGTCCGACATGTCGAGACAAAAGAAACACATGCAATGGCTGATAAACATTGTTTGTTATTTCCTGATAAGTTTCCTTTTCGTACCTTGCGGTCTGTTCGTTACGCTAGAAGTGGAGGACACGCAAAACAAGCTCAGGCTGTTCGGTCCGTTGAGCTTCTGCGTGATGGCGTACATGAAATATTACTCGTTATTGGCCCACGCGAATGATATTCGCGAATGCATCAAACGCATCGAATGGGACTGGAGGAACATCGAACACCGACAGGACCGAGATATCATGATGGAGAACGCGATCCACGGTGGACGATTAGTGAAAATTTGTATATTCTTCATGTACAGCGGTTTCGTGCTTTATTACATCGCGTTGCCTATGAGCCGTGGGAAAGTCACGGCTGAAAATCAGAATCTAACCTTTATTCCAATGGTGTTTCCCATTTCGAGCCTGATGGCCGACAGCCGTAATAGTCCAGGAAACGAGATCTTCTTTTCGATCCAATTTTTCGGGGGCATCGTGATTCACGGGATATCCGCAGCTGCTTGCAGTTTGGCCGCTGTTCTCGCGGTGCATGTTTGTGGACAGATGAAAGTGTTGATGTGCTGGATGGGACACTTGATAAATGCTCGGGAGGACATGAGTAGATCCGTGGACGTCAGGATCGCAAACATCGTGAGTCAGCACGTTCGAATATTGAAGTGTGTAAGAAACATCTTCTGGTAGATCTGTGAATTGTCGTTAGTTTGGCTAGACATGGTTTTTTTGTTTTTGAAAACTTAGTGTTTTAAAATCAGTCAATTGAAAAAACTGTAATTATTCGTTATCTTACATGTATCGGGTGATACTATAATTTGAATCGAAAATGAGAATTTAGGAGAGATTTTTTATTGTTCATTTGAAAGAATGACCCAGGAAACGCATTATTTTTTACAATGGCGTACTAGTTTTTTCAAACTGTCTGAAACAGAATTCTCTTGATCAAAATATTGTGAATTTCTTATGCTATTTTTATACGTACATATAAGTAACTGGTAGTAAGCGGGTAGGGGATGAGTCTACGTGAAAAAATAGGTTAAAAATATGGAATAAAAATGTTTCATTCGAGACTTTGTTTTCGAGAAAATAGCCTTTGAAAATCTGCTGGATACCATTCCGTCTCTACTTGTGTATTACCATGACGAATACCACGCGTTTCAGATTAATTTTCAAAGTCGACTTTCTCGATAACATCGTCTCAAATGAAAAATGTTTACATTATATTATCTACTCATTTTTTCACATAGAATTGATTGTACCACCAGTTACAAAATACCCTGTATATAAGATAAGTCTTTAAAATCGATCTTCCTCGAATGTTTTCGAAACCGTTGATGATACCGAAAAATGTTTGAAATCAGTTTTGTATGGTTTCGGGGAGAAATAATTTGATGTGAGTTGTTTTGTGAATGAACGCGTAGAGGATAGATGAAGGTCTATTTATTGATATATACGGGTATATAATCCTTTCGTATACAATCTAGTTATAATCAGTTAATTGTAAATGTACCTTGTATATGGTACAGTGACTTGTACAATTTTCTGTTTCTCTAGAATAGTGATGGAATATAACGAAAGAAAGTAAAAAATAAAAGACTTTCTAATTTCAACATTTTGTATTATAGGTTCCTGATCGTGACCGAAGAAGCATTGCAAAATATATCGTTCGTAGAATTCGTAGGATGTACCTTAAACTTATGTCTTCTAGGATATTATTTTATCACGGTATGCATGTTTGACACCAGATATCTTAGACACGATTTTTATTCAACAATGTAGACATGTATTGTTTTTCATATTTGCAGGAGTGGCATTCGAATGATTTGACAAGTGCTATAACTTACCTCACGTTACTGATATCGCTCGGTTTCAACATATTCATATTCTGTTACATAGGAGAGCTAATCGCTGAACAAGTAAGTGTCATGTAATGAAAAAACTTATAGTCTGCCTCCTTGGTTCTCATTAAAAACCAATCTATTTTTCTTGTAACCGATATATGCCTCCTGACCTTGTTCTGTTTCTTTGTAAATCTGCTAAAAGTAACGTGACATAATTCGAATGTTTTTACAACTGAGCGAACTGATTTATCTTCATCTATTACTATTTTGGCGGCTGTTTTCTATAAATCTAAAAAACCCGCGAGATATTCTCATTTGGTAATTCCTTATTATGGTTCAAATAAAATAAAAAAATGTATATAGTTATTTATTAGTGATTTATAAAATACTTCGTGTTGGGGCAAGTTGCAACAATTACAGTTTGCCCCGACGGCGTATTACGTCTAACCCCAAAACACGATACATTTTAAAGTCAAGCGTTCATATGAAAAACGTTTAAAATATAATAAAACGGAGGCATATATTGTATATTCACCGATTGACGCTTAAGAAAAAAAAAATTAATGTGCAGAAATATTTACTCGCATGTCGCCAAGTTACCTCATAGAAAATACCTGTGAAATGAGGGGCACGATTCAAAATTGTCACGACGGCAACGCAACAGTACGAGGCCAGCATTTATCCTGCGTTAGCGTCATAGCTCTGTCCTTTTTCTTTGGAAAGATATAATCCCTGTTACAACTTACCCCTGTTACTTTCAATCTCGGTCTGCCCTAGTCATAGCAAATACGGTTGCTTGGAGGGTGAAACATAAAAGATTTTTGTGTTAGTGCAACAAAGTTGGTGAAATGGCATACATGGTTGATTGGTATCGACTGCAAGGGAAAAAGCAACGTTGTATAGTTCTTATAATCGCGATGTCCAATTCATCGACGAAACTTACGGCAGGAAATATGGTTCAACTGTCACTCAGCACGTTCGGTGACGTAAGTATCGTGGCAATGATCTACAATTATATAAAAATTGTTTATGTAATTCAAAAATTTAATAAGAATTTCACCAATGGATAGGTTGTTAAGACGGCGGTCGGCTTTCTGAATATGTTGCTAGCGTTAATGTAACAGATTACCGAAACATTTGCTGCCAATGTTAGTCTACCAAGGAACGCCAATATGTTACAGACTTTTACACCCGCCCTGTGTATTTTACATTCCCCACACTGTGTAGTAAATAATGAATAAGAATAAGGTTTTAAACATAAATATGTTATTCTTTTCTCCCTGTCTGATTGGATATGAGAGTAAACATTATTCCTGCAGTCACCACTTATCACAAACTTGGTATTCTTGTGACTTCAATGGATGACAAGAGCGTCAGTGATACAACAAGTGTCGTATGAATAGGGAAATTTTGTGCTCGTTTTCATTCCGTTTAGCGTAAAAACTAAACAACTTGCACGCTGACTATCAAACATGAAAACAGGCTATATTCCGAGATCGGCAGATAAAGCACTAAACACCCACAACATTGATTTCCTATACCATCCGTCGTCTGATGGTCACTAGCCATCAATTTATCGGTGCACAACAATCGTCCTCCCGTTCGCACTCATAATACATGAAGAAGGAAAGTACGATCCGAGGGGGTCGAACTGTGCAAAGAGAAAGTAATTTCCTTCAGCTACATACTGTTGTGTGGATCCCTTCGAATAGTGATCATGAAACTGGCGCAGGCGCAACATTGTGTCCCCATCAAGCCTTATGGTTCGTCGAGTTTTTAGTATGAAACGAGCTACCAAGCTAAAAGAATGCAGACGCCAACGAAGGATCCGAAGAAATCTTCGATCAGATGGAACGAGTACGAAGAGAACGTGGACCTGAGTATTCAGTGGAATCGTTGGATATTAAAACCGATGGGAGTCTGGCCAAGTTCGCACAATGTTTCATGCCTCGAGAAATCTTTTAATCGGCTGATGAATGTCGTTTGCTACGGTCTGATAAGCTTCCTATTCGTGCCATGCGGCCTTTACGTGATGCTCGAGGTGAAGGACACTTACAATAAACTAAAGCTGTTCGGTCCACTGATCTTCTGCATGACGGCTTACATAAAATATTATTCGTTAATGGTGCACGCGAACGATATTCGTGAATGTATCAGACATATCGAATGGGACTGGAAGAACGTTCAACACCAGGAGGACAGGAGCATCATGATTGCGAACGCTAACTTCGGCAGGCGATTAGTGCGAGTTTGCACATTCTTCATGTACAGCGGTTTCCTGTTTTATTATATCGCGGTGCCTGTTAATGTCGGAAAAGTCGTCGCTGAAGAGGGAAACCGTACCTTCGTACCAATGGTGTTTCCATTCTCGAGACTAATCGCCGATACACGCGACAGTCCCACCAATGAGATTCTCTTCTCGATTCAACTTTTAGGGGGGATGTTGATTCATGGAATCGCGGCTGGAGCTTGCAGCTTGGCAGCCGCTTTCGCGGTTCATGCTTGCGGGCAAATGGAGGTCTTGAAGTGTTGGATGGAACACTTGGTAGATGGTCGAGAGGACATGAGTAAATCTGTGGACGTAAGGATCGCGAACATCGTGAGTCAACACGTTCGAATATTGAAGTGTGTAAGATACATCCTCCCGTGTGATTTATCCCATATTTCATGAGTGTTGGTGATAATTTTTACTTGTATATCGTATCATCGTATAGGCCAGTGACGAGCAACTTCGGGCCCGTGAATTATACTTACGGCCCGCCGAAGTTGTTTTTGTGATTCGCTTCAATCGGTTAAAGCGAACGAAGTTAAGTGAAAGCTAAAGTAAATTAACAGTTCTTAAATTAATAAATTAGAGTGTCTAAGATTACGGTTGCAGTGGTTTGTATAGATTGCCAGGTTTTCAATTTTGGTCTGTTGCAAGAAAAGGTTGCTCATCATTGGTATTGGTGATGCACTAAAATTATGTAAACATTTTTGGTTAATATTAACTTCAGCATTGTTTGCTTCGAAGTTATAAACGTGATCAACTTAAAGCAGTGATGTTCAAACTATCTAAGCTTTAATATCGAGTTTTTTTTTTCTTACCACGTTGCCCAGAACAAAGTTGACCATCGACCTTTCGGGTAGTCAGGGACAAACACGGTGAGCCAGGTACCCTAAAATATGCACAGATTTTCTCGATACCTTTCAACCTATTCTTTCTCTCGCAAGGGGAGTTGCGGGCACCATTGTGGTCATTTTGTTCCACCTAGACCAATTGGTATGGCTACCTTGCAGTACTCTTGGACAAAAACCCCTCGACAACGACGCGGCTATATTTTGTAGACCTTCGGTGAATTTCGCACTCCAAACTTCTCGCCAGGACAGAGTACACGGCAGAAAGACAATATCACCTATACATCTGCTCACTTATAAGTTCTCGTCACACATTTACCAAATCGATACTTAGTAGTTAGTGCAACAAAGTGTGCAGTTTTCCAAGCGCTATCGTTAGAAATTAGAAGAGACATTGTCACATGCGTTTACGAGCTAATATGACGCAGCTGGGGATATACAGTATTTATTCAAGTTACATTCAACGCGTAACGTCTGACAATCACTTTCTTCGGTCGTTCAGACGCAAAAGGATTCAGATCTTCCATTGCCTGTGCAGATCTGCAATGGCACCTCTCTCCCCTCCATCACACGAAGGTAACCAGCAGTGAGAGACAATATCCCCCGCTGTGTCTTATTGGGTCGTACGACCGTATCGCAAGTCCATACGGGCGTTCGCATTCGTTCCCTCTCACTGGCTCGTCATTGGCCTTCTTTGCTACCAACGACGAGTCAAGAGCGAGCTCCCATTCGCCTTCTTAGATTGCTATTCTCTGTTTTTTGAAAGAACGTAATCCTCTGATTTTGGTAACCACTTTGAGAGGACCCAACCTTCGCGAGGTATGTCGATAAAACTGCTGCTGATTGCAGTATTTGTGGTTACAGATTCCTAGCGCTGATTGAAAAGGCATTAACTCAGATATCTCTCGCGGAATTCTTGGGATGTACACTGGATATATGCCTTGTCGGGTATTACATTATCGTGGTATGCCTATCTTAAGACACAGCCACTTATAGAATTCTTATAGACACCTAAACCCTTCAATTAAACTACAGTTATCATTTCAAATATTTTATGTAAGTAAATGCATGCATACTGATTCCTTTTCTGTTTGATTACGGTGAGGTAATTAAACTATTCAAATTTTTTAGAATAGAAATTATTTTCTACTTTCATTAATTTTGACACCTTATCCCATACTTTGACCGGTAATGTATATGTATCTATACACATTGGTACATTCATGTTCAATCTTTTAATATTATAGGAATGGAGCTCGAACGATATGACCGCCGCTGTAACTTACACCATAATACTTACATCTCTTATCTTTAATATTTTCATATTCTGTTACATAGGCGAGCTGGTTGCTGAGCAAGTAAGATTCTCCACGAGTATTTGTACTTTAACGCATAAATTGTTCCACTAACATGATATTTCTTTCGCCAATAATATGCAAAGAAGTTGTATACAAAATTTTAAAAATAAATTTTCATACGAAAATTTGTCCTTTAACCCTTCTACGAGCTTCGGGTCGTTTCCGACCACAGTAATTTCGACGGTTAATATTCTTTTAACCGTCACTGAATGCTTTATAGTGATACTGAGGGTCGTAGGAGGATTACTATTATATAAAATAATGCGTTATATCGGCGATAGAAATATGAGAGCAAAAATATATTTTATAACAGTGCAAGAAGGTTGGCGAAATGTCTTACATGATTGACTGGTATCGACTACCGGAAAACAAGAAGCTCGGTTTAGTTCTGATAATGGCCATGTCTAATTCATCCATAAAACTTACTGCCGGAAATCTTGTGAAATTATCACTGACCAGCTTCAGCGACGTAAGTATTCGATTAATCGTTCTCTATGTGGATCTGGAAACTAAAAAAGAATTGTTGAATCTATAGGTTGTTAAAACATCGGTCGCATTCTTGAATATGTTACGAACATTGACTTGAGAAGCTTGAATAATGAAACTGCAGGTATTGCCGCGCCACAAATTTCCTTTAAAACTGAGAATCTATTTGTAAAGATTGTACGCTATTATTGATTTGGTGAAAATTGAATGAAAATGATTATTAAAACTTGATGTAATATTATACTTCATCCTCTTCATACTTAGCAGTTTCAGCTACAAAAATATAAAATATTTTTCAAGTGCTTTCAGACTGTTCAATATCTTAGGTACGAGTTAAAGTGGCGCTTCCCCTTTAAAATTTACTTTTTGATAACATTTATGGTAATACTTATCTTTAGTCCTTCAGAAATGAAATAAAATGCTTGGAATTGAAGGAACACAACTGTATTTTTTTTAAATCGTTCGGTACAGATGTCTACCTCCTATACTTCTCCTTCTATACATACAGGGTGTCCCCAAATTCTTGCTACAATCAATCGAGTGATAAAAAAGAATAACATTTTTTTATTTATGGCTTCGTTTTTGGGGAGAATCGAGTTTGTAAATGGATCTAAATCACGTCTATTTATGCTGGCAACAAGTAGAAAAAGTCTACAATAATCAGACGCGTTAGCCAAGTCCCAGTCTATTGCCTGTGTATTCAACAAACATTCAAATTCAATTATCTCGAAAACAAGACACTACGCAAAAAAATTTGTTTTATTTTGTCGACTTATTTTTACATGTAGAATCCCTATCCGATCTATTCTACGAGGATTTTGGAGACACCCTGCTTCCTTTCACGTGAACAATAATTTTAAGAAATCTGCGCCACGCGAACTCACAATACTAGTGAACTCGGAACATCTATCACGGAAAGAAACATCCGAAATTTACGCGTACCGCAGAACAAAAATCAAATCCTCACAACTTTTATTTTCCTGCATAAATGTCGTTCAGTTTCGATCATATTTGACAATTTCAATTTTGAACGCTAACTTAATTACCAATTAAACGTACCTAAATATTAGAGAGAAATTCTGGCGAAACGAGGCAGAAAGACAAGGAAAGAGAGTTCAGGTGGTCGCTGACTGTCGTCAGACTAACCACGAGTGGAACACTCACCGCCGTGTCGGTCACCAATGACCGACACAGAACTTTCCTTTCACACCCGTGTCAGTAACCGATGACCGTCATCTAATAAAAATTCGAATATCACATGAAACAATCGACATGAACGAATAGTTAGTCGAAATAGGCCCCACGATGAACCTGATAGAAGCAAAAAATCCCACTTTCCCGGTCCTTCGACAAAAAACCTGTCTCGCTATACTTCGTCAACAACCATCGTATCGATCAGCTTTGAACAGCTGCATCATTAATATCGTGGGGAACAGCCGAATAAAAAAGCCGTAGCGCACGCGCCAACTTCTACTTGAATCCACACCGCATCGGTGAAATCGCATCGCATATTGAGCAAACGTCCTCCGCGTAACGATCATGGAAAAGGGTTCTCACGTGAAAATGGTGAACAACGTTCATCACGCCGAGGATTACGACTACAGTATCCAGGTGAATCGTTGGATCTTGCAGCCGATCGGGGTCTGGCCGAGTATCAACAAGTTGAGCAAAGCCAAATGGTTCCTTTCGTTTCTGCTGAATCTTGCGTGCCATGCGGTGATCATGTTCACGGTTGCGCCATGCCTGATGTTCATTCTGTTCGAGGACGAAAGTATTCACATGAGAATGAAAGCGATCGGCCCTATGAGCGCCATGCTAATGGGCGAGCTTAATTACTGGAGTCTGTCTCTGAAGACCAAAGACATACTACGATGCTTCGATTACTTGGACACCGACTGGAAGATGGTCGGACGACCGCAGGACCGTCGGGTGATGCTGAAGAACGCGAAGGTCGGCCGTATGGTCGTAACCGTTGCCGCGTTTGCCCTGAACATCGGCGTGTTCTCGCACAGTTTAATGGCAGGATTCAAAAAGATGGAGTTCAACATTGGTAACGATACTTACGCAATGCTACGTCTGCCTTGTCCGTGTTACTCGAAACTGATAGACGCCAGGTACAGTCCAATCAACGAAATCGTCTTCTTCGTGCAAGTTTTATCCGGGTTGATCGTCAACTTGGTCACGGTCGGGGCTTACGGTTTCGCCGCAGTGTTCGCTATGCACGTCTGCGGTCAGCTGAGTATCGCTATGTCGTATCTGGACGAATTGGTGGAGCCGAATATGGATCAACCGAACGCGCAGGAGAAACTGGGGGATATCGTGGACATTCATTTACGAGCGTTAAAGTATTGTTCTTATCCTTTTCGTTCGTTACGGTCGATGATTGCTGCAGGGTACGTAATGTGAAGTAGGAACGGCCGAGTATTTAATATTAGGTGTACCGATATATAATTTACTATGTTCTCCTAAATTTGATATTCATTTTCCAAGAAATCAGAAGTCTTTGCTACTCCCATAATATGCATCCTCGTTCGCGATCATATTCCGTCATTTCTACGAAAAAAAAAAAAAGGGAATGGTGTAGGTTTTGCACTGAAATTGTATTACAATTTTATTGGAACAATATGATGTATCACTTATTTTGTACTCCTAGTAATTCAATACGTTCACGTTATTTTGAAGCCAGATTTAGACTAGGAGTCAAAGGTACGGTCAGATCTCGATCATTCTGAATATAGACTACGTATATCTCTCTCACTAAACTACGTGTGAGCGATGAAGACCGCTGTCAGATTTGACAAGATCTGACCGTACCGTGAACGTCCGTGTTCACGGGACAGTAAAAGTCGCGACTTTCGTTGCCGTGACACTATACGAGAACCGACGACAGCGTAACATTTCTGTGAAGCTGTTTTCACACAATTTATTGGTTTTCATGGTTGAATTCAGTGTAAAGACCGACATAAAATTACGTAATTTCAAAATTTTATCTGGAAAATTACTGGTAGTTGATTCTCACCCCAATGCCCTTCCTTAAACTATTTTAAACATGACGTCATATGAAGTCATGGTAAACGTGTTTAGACCAAAATTGTATGTTCACAGTAAAGAATTTTTTACTTTAATGACAAGGAGATTGCATTGTACTGTGGTCGATAAGAAAGATTAGTTAATTTATCACTTCTCTAACACAACGGTAATAAACATAGTATAATAATGAATTTCAGTAACATAATGTACAGAATTCCAGAGATTTCAATGCGTGGTAGCATTATCTTCTCCTATTTGAACGGTTTTCTAAATTATACAGACCAGGTTTTTCCTACGTTTATTACATCTTAGATGGTTTTTTACTAACTTGACATAAATACTTAATAACTTTTGTGCGACTTTAACCAAATTGCCATTCTTGTGTAAGTATTCGATCAGTTGCAAAACAGCGTTGAAACTACCTACTTCGCCAGCGCATTCTGTGTATGTTCATGTTTCGACTGCAATGATATGAATCCTCGTTCGCGACCATATTCCGTCCTTTATACAAACAAAAGTGGTAGAGTAGGCGGTTCACCATAGATAGTGGAAGAGTTCCCACTTCACTAACGCACCCTATGTATTAATAATTTCTTTTTAACCGAATGCGTTCAGCTGTTGCACAATACGTAAATGGAACCGTTCATCTCATTTATGAGTATGTTAATTTCAGTTTTGTGTCGCATATAGAGGACGTTATGCACCTAACATGTCTCATTGAGTTAACGGGATGCACGCTGAACATGTGCATGCTTGAATACTATATGATTACGGTACGTTCAATGTTCTCGAATATCAGTAAAATTAAATTATTCGCTGTCAATTATTAAAATAATTTTTCGAGTAAGAAATCGAATCTAACATTTAAGTATGTCAAGAAAGTATTCTTACATTAATTAAGTAATTGAAGTACCTAGGAATCTGTGCTTTCTAGCAACCTTTCTATCATTTTTTTTGTTTATAATGTACTTTCACTTTCTAGGAAAGCTCAAAGGAAAACGCAGTCGCTTACGGCGTTATATACCTATCCATGACATTTAATGTTTTCATATTTTGTTATATTGGCGAGAAGATTTCGGAACAGGTAATGGATAATTAATACAATAGTTGCCTAGTTGATCGTTTAGAATGATTTAAACACTGAAAAACATGGTGTCTTACACAATAGGGCGAAATGGTGGGAGAAAAAGCGTATATGACAGAGTGGTATCGTTTACCTTACAAAACTGCCTCCGGATTAATCCTTGTAATATTGAGGTCGAGTACGGTTACGAAAATCACAGCCGGAAAAGTATTGCCAATGTCAATTGCAACGTTTGCTTCTGTAAGTATCATAAAAATGTCGCAAATCCATTACCCCAAGTCGTTCAATCTGCAACGCCTTCTTTTCAGGTTGTTAAAACGTCTTTCGTGTATTTCAACATGATCCGCACAGTTACGATGTGAATTAGGCTGTATAGCTTAAAAATAACATTGTTCCGTATGAATTTAGAGATCCGTACAAATGTCATAAGAAATAAATTCACGTTATTATATTAGAAATTAATTTGTCGGTAACATTTTCCATGTTTGTAAAGCAACGTCTCTTATTCTCAAGAGGGTATACCATCCTGAGGCGTCTAAATATAGGTAATATTTTGGAATTTCTGTCGTAGGTAATTACTAGATGAAAACATTCAAGTTTTCGGAGGATATAAATCTAGCTTTAGGCTTAATTCTTCGATTTTTAAAAATTAAAATTTTACAAAATGGAGGAGTTATTCCCTATTCTGAAAGCTGTTCTGCTGGAAAATCGATTGCTGGCCGCTATCGTCGGCAAGGACTAAAACGTCTGATATAGAAAGAGCTTATTGATTTATAATTAAGAATGTATTATCTACAATGCAGCGTAGGATTTTTCAACAATTATAGTAATTACAGAAATAACCCGAGGTAACCAGAAAAAACCGCTTTTTTACAAAAAATTGTCAACTTTAAACGTTTCTGAAATTTTAAATGGAGATATTAAAAAAATTCTGCGTTCAATTGCTCGTAATATCTTCTTATTCATAAATGAATCATTTCTTTATTTCGGACTTTCTAATCCCTGTCGGCGCTGACGGCTAACAATCGATGTTCTAGCAAAAGAGGTTTCGGAATTACTGAATAACTCTGCCATTTTGTAACATTTTTACTTTCAACAAATTAGAGGATAAGGCTAAAAGTTACATTTACATCTTCTGAAAACTTCAAACTTTTCATATTACTAATTATACCTATGAAAAAAAATTCCCATTTGTTAGACGCCTCAAGGTGGTGTACCCGTTTAATAAAATTTGTATATAAATCTGAAAAATTCTCGTTCGAACACTTTCGATATTAACTCCATCATATAATCACATAATGAAATATAAAAATACTAAAAAAAAAAAAAGCGAATCCAGAATATGGACCCACTGATCGATGTATGAGGATATTCCTTTGTGACCCACCTTTATTTCTAGCTACACATTCTATAACCACAAACGATATCATAATTCATATACGATCACTCACGGTAAAATCCAACAAATGCAAGATCATCGCGTTCCGAACCATACGTCACACATGTTCAGCCATAGGATTAAACTATGAATTGACAGCAGTCGATGGACTACCCTCTACGGCAACACGTGAACCGTGCAACGTAATTGCGTTCACCGCCGTAAACAAAGTTATACTCTCCAGACGAATCGATCACCAATAGGCTCGAAATCTGCGCAAGCGTTCTCAGCATGATACCCCGTAAACCGACGACTCGCAATTGCAACCTTGCGCTGCTTTAGTAGTTTACTCGACTTCGATGAGCGACCACGATGGCAAGCGAGTCCGTGACGTTCGAGGCTGACAACCTGAACGATTACAGTCTGCAGCTGAGTCGTTGGTACCTGTTGCCGATAGGAGCATGGCCTTCGTCGTCCTCCGCGTCCAGGCTCGAACGAATCGTATCTGTCACCTTGATCGTACTTTCTTACTCTCTGATAATGTTCACCGTGGTCCCCAGTTTCCTGAGCATCATTCTGGAGGACGAGACTGTTCGACTGAAGCTAAAGCTGCTAGGGCCTCTGGGCCACTGGTTCGTCGGCGGGATCAATTACACCACGTTGCTGATGCGGAGCAAAGAGATACGCCACTGTATCGAGCACATGGGAACAGACTGGCGTATCATAACCAGAACGAAGGATCAACAGATCATGATGAAGAACGCCAAGTTCGGTCGCTACGTCTCAGCCTTCTGTGCTGCTTGCATGCAGGGTGGCGTTCTATCCTATTGCGTGGTCAGCGCGCTGACTATGCGGGTCGTGCAAGTTGGTAACGAGACCAGAACCGTACATGTGCTACCCTGTTCGGTATACAAGAAACTGTTGAACGTCGACAACAGCCCCATGAACGAGATCGTCCTCGTCTCGCAGTTTCTCTCCGCTTTTATTGTCAATTCGAGCGCTGTTGGTGCGTTCAGTCTGGCTGCTGTGTTCGCGGCTCACGCGTGTGGCCAATTGGACGTTCTGATGATATGGATCACCGAGTTTGTGAACGATTCGAGACGGCAACGCAAGAACGCCTGCTTGAATAAGATCGGAGTGCTTGTAGAACATCATCTACGTGTCTTGAGGTAGGATTGTGTTCATCTATATAGTACCTATTCTTTTTTCGAGATTTCGTGTTTTCGCGTGATAATCCTGTTGCATGTTGATTGCAGTTTCATATCGCGTATCGAGGACGTGATGACACGGATATGCTTCATGGAAATGTTCAAGTGTACGCTGGACATATGCATGCTTGGCTATTACATTCTTACGGTAGGTACGTGGGAGACTTGATGGAATGCGTTACACGCTAAATTCATTTTGTGTGATCATGACTTGCGTCCGGGAATTTTGTTGAATCTCTTCGGGGTGTGGGTAAAAATGTTTGTGATCAGTTTTACTATGAATAGAATAGTTTTGTTTAACCCTCATAGTACGGACTTTTTAACGTTCCTAGTGACAGTGGTGTCTGGGCCCGTGAAAACGTTATGCTTCCTTCTTTTTAAACATACTTTCTAACGCGATGATTAAAAAAAAACCTGCTCCGTTTACATAACTAAATATGAACAATAAAGATAAGTTAGATAAGGTTGACCCGGTCAACGTCCTCCAAGGTTTAAGTACTGTTGGTCGGAGAGATACAATGTAAAATTTTGGGATATTGTGACGATAAAAATGGTGAAAATGTTTGTTCTTCTAGGAATGGTCCGACAAAGATGTTCGAAACTTGACCACGTATTTTGTTATACTGATGTCTATGTGTTTCAATATTTTTACGGTGTGCTATATCGGTGAAATCTTATCAGAGCAGGTAACAGAGAAATGTTTCTATGGGTCGTTATTAAACTACGGATTTTATGCATTTATAATAAAAATTAATAATGACAACACATTTTTCTTGGATTCCAATTTCCGTAAAGTAGTCCATAGAAATGTGTAGGTATATATGCATAAACATCCGCAGTCGGTTCATTGTAAACAAATCCGCTGGCATTTATGACCGAGACTTACCAAGTAAATTCTTAACAGTGCATAAAAGTTGGCGAGGTAGTTTACATGTCGAATTGGTACCATTTGCCTGACAAACTCGTTCTTGATCTGGTACTAATCATCACGAGATCGAGCGTGGTGGTCAAAATCACTGCCGGCAAGTTAATTCGTATGTCCATTTACACGTTTGGCGATGTAAGTATGTATTATCGTCTGCGAGAACTCGTCAAATTTCGTCATATGCACGAGAATACATGTAATTGCAGGTGATGAAGACTTCTTTCGCGTATTTGAATCTGCTACGCCAAACAACATGATAAAAGTACATTCGAGCAACGATTATAGTATATGTAAATTTGTAGATATTTTTGCAGGATTAATATACCGTCGAAAAGGGAACAAAGATTGAAAAAATTGTCAGAAATGATATTCACCTTATGCATAGTTCCTAACTGGTGGGTCAATCAACAAGATGGCGATCCTTCGTTGGAAATTATGTCTAGAGACGAAACTATGATAAATCTTCTGCAAGTATGTTGTTGCTTTGGAAACATAAAGAATTTGAAACATGTGTTAGGTAGACGTTCTATTGAACAGAGCTCGATTATAGTGTCTGTTTAGTACTTGTTGTTTTTACTTATTATACGCACGAATGAAGACATATCAAAAACGATTTGTACATGGCCAGGATCATTAACTAATTTAATGCTTCATGACTTACACGTGTTACCGCAATTCCATCGTGGTGAAAATTATAAGTAAATATGTTTCATTGCGCATAATAGAATTTTTTATAGAATTTTATTATAATCTTTCAAATCCATAACAATTATTAGACCATTCGCAGCTATCGAACATTTTCCAATACTAAATAATCATCTGGTGATATTGGTATTCTGTAACTCTTCCACAACCAATAAAATAATTATACCACTATACGATAACAGTTTTGTTATTGTATCAAATAATAAAGTAACAGAAAATTCTCAAGGAAATGTAATTTAATCATTAGAAGTCAGCCAAGAGTTTCGTGTTACAGTAATCGAAAAGACAAACTCTTTCAAACCAATTATACGTTTCATAATATACCTACACAGGTATCATTCATCACTCGCGCAAAACCTTTCCGCCAGTGCAACCGCGTCTCACAGACACATCCGACACAGGTGTGCATGACCAACGACCGTAGGAAACATAATTGCATACACCACTGCAACAAGTTGCACCGACCAGGCGAATCGATCAGCAAACAGTCGGAACCGTTCAGGAAATCTGCGCACGCGTTGAACTGCCTTGTTCGCCGGACTCGTGTCTGTTCCTCTACAAAACACGCGAGGTCAGTAGCTTGTTGTGCTTCGATGAGCGACCACGATGCTCGGCGAAGCGACGATGATCGAGAGAGATCTCGGGGATCCGAGCGATTACAGTCTCCAGTTGAATCGTTGGTACTTGAAGCCTATTGGCGCCTGGCCTACGTTACCCTCCACTTCTAGGCTCGAACGTATCGTGGCGATCGTTTTGATCCTCCTTTGTTACTGTTCCATATCGTTCACTGTGGTCCCGTGTATGTTGCACATCCTCCTAGAGGACGAGGATATCCGTATGAAACTGAGAGCGGCTGGTCCGCTTAGCCATTGGTTCGCTGGCGGCATCAATTACACCACGTTGCTGATGCGCAGCAACGAGATACGTCATTGCGTGGAGCATCTCCAAACCGATTGGAGACTAGTGACCCGTGTGAAAGACCGACAGGTGATGCTAAAGAACGCGAAGAACGGTCGTTACGTCGCAGTTTGTTGCGCCGCGTTCATGCAGGCCGGCGTTCTGTCCTATTGCGCGGTGACTGCGTGGTCCACGCGGATCGTGGAGAACGGAAACAGGACCGGGATCGTGCACGTGTTGCCCTGCGCGTTTTACAAACAAGCGTGGTCGGAATCTTCAGTCTGGCCGCCGTCTTCACGGCACACGCGTGCGGCCAGTTGAACGTTCTAATGGCATGGATCACCGAGCTGGTGAACGAATCCAGAGGACGTAACGCGAGGATCTATTTAAACGAGATAGGAGTAGTCGTGGAACACCATCTGAGGGTGTTAAGGTAACGTTATGTTTGTTGCAGTTAATTCGTATTTTAACCCTTGTGTGGGCAACCAAAATATCTACGGTTATTGCGCAGCAATCGGAACACTCCTATTCTGACAGATTAGGTAAACATAGATAATTTTACCTTCATACTTTTCCGAAACTCTTAGTTTTCCCTTCCTACAATATACCAAGTACTGTTTTATACAAGAACCTAAAGGATTGTGAAAGGAAATTTAGAAATGGGTACCTAGGTACCCGGATACCTACACAAGGATTTATGTTATGCATTATCATTTGTCTTCGGCTAATTGGAGTATCGAGTAATTGAAGTGAATGTGTATTGAGAGAAGACTAGAGATAGGTGGATTCTGTGGAATTAACGGGGAGAAGATATGTAGCATTTTAAAGGACGCATCAGCTGAATGCAATTTGATTCTTTTATGTCTTATTTTTTCTAGATATCAAAGTGACCTTGAGTTATTTCAAGGTCAATGCATTTTTTTTTAATGCCACGTTATGTTATATGTCGATGAATTCGTCTCTCCAGAGGCAACAACGTGGTATTACAAAAACAGACGCCTTGACCTTAAAAACGCAAGGACACCATGATATCTGAAAAAAAAATATAAAAACATCAAATTATATCCACCCAATGCGTTCTCTAAAATGTTACATAATTCATTAAACTGTTTTTTGAATCTATCCTCCTGGTCATTTTAGATACTAGTTTTCATTGGCTCACTCTGTATGTAATGTAATGGTGTATTTACTTGAGAAAAATGGTATTCATATATGACGAAGATTCCTTATTATTGTTTATAATTAGTATATTACTTGCAGTTTCATATCGCGTATCGAGGACGTGATGACTCGGATATGTTTCTTGGAATTGGTTCGCTGTAGCTTCGGCATATGTATGCTTGGCTATTACATTCTTACGGTACGTTTACAATGTTATACGTCCATGTTATTGTTTTTTCGATTAATACCCACTAAATTAACATGTTTGTCCTCTGGTTCTCATTAAAATTACACGTACTTACATCATCTTTTCTGATAATAAAATATTCAATTATTTACTATTTATGTATACAATTTTTGTCCCTAATGATAACCATGTGTATGAACTTTCTTTCTAATGGCAGCTGCTACTAACAACTTGACGATGGATGTATTAATCATAAACAATATGATGATGGATATATTGATGTAAATTTAAGCTATGAAAACTGTACATACACCGGAAATTTTTTCTGCCAAATATTCACATATTCTTTGTATGAAAATATTTCGAACGAAGCTTTTAATTTCGCCGAAAAAGTTATACCACCAATACCATTAGTAGATTATTAGAAAAAAGCTCATTTAAAAGAAGTTTGTCACGTTATTTCACCAGATACTGTACGGACGCCGTAAACGTCGCGACTGCTCTTACCACGCATTGAAATCACCCACACGGAGACCGTGCGTATCATGTGCACGACTGCACTATAACAAAACAATGAAACATTTAATACATAAAATTTCTCTTTTTATACTCGATGAAAACTATTTAACAATTTTCTAACTGTACTATCATCAAAATAGCAATTGACAATTAAGTACGCCTAGTTAGAAAAAATTTTCCGATTATTTTGAAATATAATTTCCTGCTTTAAATTAATCATAATATATTTGTGTAATACTAAGCTAAAAATTATTTACAATTCAGTATGTTCTAGTAGGAGGAGAAACTCTTATAGAATAATCTGATATAAATAATTTTTAACGTTTAATGCTGTACCAAAATATGTAAAAAAAAAAAGAATGTACGAACATTTCTTTCTTTCGCTGTGTTTCTCTTAGGAATGGAGCGATCACAATTTTCAGAATCTGACCACATATTTCATGATAATGGGTTCTATGACGTTCAACGTGTTTATAGTCTGTTATATCGGTGAATTGCTAACGGAACAGGTAACGGATGCAGGTAGATGCAACAGACAAATGGGAGTTCGAGATTCACCGACTAAATTCTTAACAGTGCAAGAAAGTTGGTGAAGTCATATACATGACAGAATGGTATTGTTTACCTCACAAATGCGTTCTTGACCTGACAATGATTATTGCAAGGTCGAGCTTGCTGATTAAGATCACCGCCGCCAAGATGATCCACATGTCCGTTTCCACATTCGGCGATGTAAGTATGCTTTATCGTTTACACGAACGAAAGTTCGTCAATCTGTATTCACTCCATGAGAATGTCATTCCAGGTAATGAAAACTACCTTCGCGTACTTAAATTTACTGCATCAAATGGTGTGACTTGCGTACTGTGGTTTCAAATATTGAACGAGATTGAGAATAAATCTTTGTAGAACCTGAAATAGAACGTGTATTAACGGAATCATTTGTAAAATATAATATTTCAATCACAGGTGGACACATAATATCATATTTTTATTTTTTCATTTTATTTTTCATAGAAATGAGGTAGTACGCATCGCTGTATAAACTTCTTTTCATTTTTGCATATCCAACTCACCCATCGAATTGAATCCACAGATTGCGAAGCCAAATTTACGTGTAAAACGGTGTTTATATTCGTGTTTAATCAAACCATTCAGAATGTCACGGCGCTTCTGTAAAATCAACTAAAGTATCAAAATATGTTACCAACTTCTGTGTGTAGCACATATGATATTAAGTCACCCTATAAAAATGAAAAAAGATGAAGAAAGTAACGCTGAACAACAACGTCATACCTCATGTGACACAAATCGTTTCAAAAGATTTTCAATTATTCCTAGTCATTATCACATAATTCGTCCGTTGCATCATTCTTTTTACTATCAGTAAAGACTCTTACAATGTCAAAATGAAATGTCAAATTTAAACAAAGTACACTCGATTTTCAAAAAATTACGCGTTGTATCTTCTAATAAAATTGTTATTCACTTCATCACTAATTATTGCACACCAGCATGCACATAGCATCTATAAAAGTGTGGAGATTACTGATCTCCCAGTAATTTTTCCATAATTTGCCACCTTTTCTACAGAAATATCAAGATAGTAAGAGAAAAAAGTATTGTCACATTCTAATCCATAATTAGAACGTTTCCCTGGTTAACAGATTAGAAACGGTAACAGAAACATATAAAAGAAACACCTAAACCATTCAATTAACCTACAGCTATCACTTTAAATATTCCAAGTTACTGCATACATATTGTTTCCCATTGTTTTGTTCCGGCGAAGCAATTAAACCACTGATATATTTTTCTCGTATTTCAATGAAACTAAATTCTTAATCAACGTTTAAGCTTAAAACAGACATACACCGTGTTGCATTAATGCATTGCTTAAAAAACACAGCGTGCATTCAATCAAGATAAAAATACAGCAAATAGAATGTCACGTACAAAAAGAGTTCCTACATCACCTGTTTCTTTTGTACACCTGGAGCCCTATAATTCGCAAATCGTCTATGCTATACACAGTCCTCCTCGCAACCCTCGCAATTACGACTCGATCGCTGCAAACTTACTCTCGTATCGCGACGAATCGACTGGCGGTGATTCAGGCGGCGTTGTTCAACCGCACGATTGCAACCCTTTAATTTCTTATATTGCAACAATGCCCTGGCCAATGGATGGTGCGGGCACATGCGCGAAACAGAAACTTCGTCAATCAATGTACCGCAACTGTTCGCCGTTTCTCGGCCAGTCGTGCGTGCACATTCGATCCGTCTACTATCACGAACGCATTCGCATGGCCACGACAGACGGCGACAACCGGGGCGATGATTGGATGCACAGTGTTCGAATAAATCGGTGGCTGTTGAAGCCGATCGGCGTCTGGCCGGTCTCGTTGTGCGTCGACACGATGGAGAAAATGATCACGGTGCTGCTCGTGTTAATCAGCGCATCTCTGATAGGATTTCTTCTGGTCCCGTGCGCGTTGTGCACCATTCTCGACAAGACGGACGATCTGGACATGAAGATCAAAATGATCGGTCCATTGAGCTTCTGCGTGATGGCCGCGATCAAGTATTGCATCCTCGTGTCGCGTGGAGGACAGATCAGTAAATGTATCCGGATCATTCGTTCCGATTGGACGCGAACAAATATGGACGAGCTCGTCGGTAATAAAGAGATCATGATCGAATACGCGAACATCGGTCGATCGTTGGCGATATTTTGCGCCGGATTCATGTACTCCGGTGGATTCTTTTACACCGCCGTGATGCCGTTGTGCACCAAGAGAACGGAGATCATCGACAACGTGACAGTTCGATCCCAAGCATTCCCGATCTATCGCGGCCTCTTGGATCCGCGGACCAGCCCGTCGTTCGAGATCGTGCAATTGACGCAATGCTTGGCTGGATTCGTGATATACTCCGTCACCGTCGGTGCCTGTAGCCTGGCTGCGGTGTTCGTTATGCACGCCTGCGGACAATTCCGAATCCTCGGGATGAAATTGGACAGACTGGTGAACTGTTCGATGGGAAGGGCCGATCGAAAGGTCACCGAGCAATGTTTGGGCGATATCGTTCAGCATCATTTACGCATACTCGGGTAAATCCTTTGAATTCTTTGCTCGCGAGAGGACACGATACAACACGGTTTATCGGTAAACCGTGGATCCACCCGTTGCGAACATAACCTCGGGAAATCCGGGAATTTTGCAGTTTTATAACGCAGGTCGAAGAACTGCTGAACGAGATATGCTTCGTGGAATTCGTTGGGTGCACGTTGAATATATGCTTCTTAGGATATTATTTGTTGACGGTACGGAATACGGCGAGCTTGGCGCGCAGAGTGGTCCAGTGAAGTGAGGAATTTTGTCGTCTCGGTTAGTTACAGTCTATGATTGTTTCGAATCTGTATCGCAACGTGAAAGTTAATAACCGGGCAAGGGATGTGTTTTAAAAGTATATAAACACATTTACTTAATGAGGCTTTAATTAATTCACTTTTATGAATATGCAAAATTCGCATATTATGAATATTCAGATTTTCTCACTTCACTGGGTGTTTACTCTTTTATTAACGTAGCATTTAGACGCTTCGATGATTGAATTGCGTCAGTTTTCTAGGAATGGGAGCAGAGCGATCCTATAGGAGCGTTGACGTATTGCACTTTGCTAATATCGTTTACATTCAACATTTTCATTCTGTGCTACATCGGTGAAATTCTGTCCGAGGAGGTATGTAACTGAATACAATTGTCACAATAATTGTTGATCTCTACATCCTGTCATTTCTACATCGTAGTGCAAAAAAATCGGCTTGACAGCTTACATGATCAATTGGTATCGTTTACCTGGAAAGGAAGCGCTCGACCTGATACTGATATTCGCGGTATCGAACTCTTCCAGGAAGCTAACCGCTGGAAAGCTTGTAGAGCTGTCTTTAGGCAGTTTCTGCAGCGTGAGTAACACAATTTACTATTGCATGATACAAGACTGATTTCTGGATTATTGACTGATCCTACATTCTAGGTATTAAAATCATCTCTGGCGTACTTGAGCCTGCTTCGTACACTAACCACCTGAAAAAATATGTCGTCTTAATTGTCCTGAAATATACTATATTTTTGAAGAAAACATATTTCTGAAGCACTCAGGGACTGGCTTTATTAGAATTCTGAACGGATTATACGCAATTATGAGTAAACTCGGTCCAACTTAAGAATAATCTCGTTTCACGCATGGGACGCATTTAAAGTAAGTAACCGAATTTCCAGTTGAGACACTCATAAAGAGTCGATATATAATTTTATCATAATATAATATATGATGCCATATATATAATTTTCTTTCTTTTAATATAGTATTTATATTTTCTATGATGCGCGTCAGAACGCTCGTGTTCGGCATAATATTGCAGGAAGTCGTTTACCCATTAAAATTGACCCCCTTGAAGAGTGTTCTACAATGAGCATTGCAGTTATGTAGCCCTGCTTTAAGGGGGTCTTGCAACGTCTGAACCCCCACTTATGTGCTGCTTTCGTTGGTGTCAGTGACGCCACGCGGTAGGGCTATACGTTAACTCGTGGGAAACGGGTAGAAAGAGCGAGCTACAAGCAATCGCATGCGTCCCATTGATAGGCAGTACAAGTGGGGGCTGCGCAGATAGGTCGAAAACTGGTCCGAGCATGAGGTTATTCTTAAATTGGACAAAGTGTACATGTAATTATTTCCTGAGTTCTTCCTTTCTTCGCTCATGGTGTATCCTTTGATGTCAGAGTCAACGTCTATGAGGTGATATTCATTTCAGAAAGTAAAAATAACACAATTTTTGTTTCTTTCTAATGATTTCACAAAGTACAGACTCGTCTAGATTATCATCCGACTTGTTCTACACGATTATTGTCCATGCGTTATCCCCACCACGGGGGGGGGGGGGGGGGGCAGTGGAACCTGTCGAGTGGGCTTCAGGCCAAAACGAACCTACGAGGGTCTGAAACATTTTTCCCTATAAGATTATTGTCCCGACGCAGATCAGTGTTCGGAACAATAAACAAGAGGAGTCTGTACAAAATAACTTGGTTTGACATTAAATCGCTTGTGTTCGATTACACTCGCGTCATTATTACCGATTTTGTAACAGTGGCGATCTTTTCGAGAATGACCATTACTGATACTGATATGCTGCTGTATTCTACAGTTTATGATCTTACTATTCGACGAGTGCATACTGTTCTCTCAGAAGGACCTGAACATAAAGATCAGGTTTTTCTTTTCTGGTTAAAAAGAATTTAACACATTTACAAAAATGTCCGTTTAAATAAATTGTAATAATCAATATTATTCTGATAAGTAAAAAGGACTAATTGACCTGTCATTCTCTTTCAACGTATCTTACAATAATTATCTGGTTCTCTATTTTCTTAAGAAATTTAATAATTATTAATCCACGTATTTCTTCATCTTGTAGCTTGTATTAATTTTATTACACAAAATAAGATAAATAGACTCTATATTCTATATTTCCCTATCTCTGTATTCGTTACATAATTATTGCACTGAATATGAAGAAGATTTCCCAAAGGCACTTCTAGCTGCCATCGTTCCGGCGAATGTTGCTAACGCTAAATAGTATTTTTTTAGCGGAAAACTTGCATGCATCTTTATAAAGTTGATTTACGAATTTGGCTTAAATGACCATCTTTTAATGCACCTGAAGAAAATGGGTGATTTTCACTGAAAATTAGATTAATTCTCTACCTTAATCGACACTAGTATTTAACATAATCGATATTATAGTCATGTTAGACAGTTCCTTGAAACGAGTAGCGTACACCACGTACTTTTGCAATAAAGAAAGGGCATACGTTAATAATTTTCATCCGTAAAAGTAACGTCGAACATACCTATCAACAAAATCGCCCATTTCATCTGCAACGACCCAGTACATGAGACTTTTATTCCATCTTTCGTCCGAATTTCGTTCCGAACTTCTTCGATATTCCAAAGCAATCGTCCTTACGAGCATCTCCATACATTATTCCCACAATCAATCTCTCCCCTCGATTTACGCTGGAATCGTATACGGTGCGCTGAAATCAAAGAAAAAAACGTCGATATTCCCCATCTCTACGTAATTCCACTTCACGTGCATGCAACATGCTTCATCATACGACATTCGTGTTCGCGCTTGCGTTCCAAGAATATTGGCATAGCCGCGTTGTCTGTCACCCGTGTCGTTCAGTCGCGGCCGTGTACCTGTATGGCCAGCATGTATGCTCGATCATGCAGCCGAATAGACAAGAACCGTCCGAACAACAACGACCACGAGACCGATCTGAATTACACGTTGGAAATGTGTCGATGGCTGTTGAAGCCGATCGGCATGTGGCCGCTTGTGAAAAAACGCGCGTGCAAACTCGAGAAAGCAACATCGATCGTCATATTGTTCGCATGTTTCACCTGTCTACTCTTCGTCATCCTGCCATCGGGCTACAGTGCCTTCATCGTCGAGAAGAGCGTGCAGAATAAGGTGAAGCTACTCGGACCGGTTGGCTTCTGCGTGTCCTCCGCGATCAAGTACTGTTACCTGATCACGAAAAGCACTGTATTCGGGCGTTGCATCGAACACGTACAGAGGGATTGGCAAATGGTGGAGCAACCGTGTCATCGTGATATTATGCTGAAACACGCATCCTTTAGCAGACAGTTGATCGCCATCTGCGCGATTTTCCTCTACACTGGCGGCATGTCCTATCATACGGTGATGCAGTTCCTGTCGAAGGAAAGAAACAAACAGAACTTCACCGTGAGACTGTTGGCTTATCCTTGCTTCGACACGTTGCTCGACACTCAGTCCAGTCCCACGTACGAGATCGTGTTCTCCGTTCACTGTGTCGCCGCCATCATCTTGTACACCGTGACAACCGCCGCGTACAGTCTCGCCGCGACTTTCGTCACTCACATCTGCGGACAAATCCAGATACAAATGGCCAGGCTGGAGAATCTAGTTGCTGACAGTCGGGGGAAGAGTAGCTTCCAGGATCGTCTGACCGTTATCGTTCGAAGCCACGGTGAGGTGTTGAGGTAACTATGTCTCGGGTAGTTTGAAAATGTTGCAGAAGCCAAATACGTTACGATGCACGTAGCATTTCATGGGTCGTTGACGAACGACCAGTACGCCGAGGTTGGATGAACGACAAATTGGAAGGGATTTCTATACGATTTAGATTCTGTGCGGTCGAGTGAGATTTTTCTTGTAATTGTGACAGATTTCTGTGATTCAACGCTCCGCAGGCGAACATGTTTTTTCAATTGCTCGTAGAGCAATGTGAAACAAACTGGGTTGTTCATGTGCACGCATAATTTTTTACCGTTTTAGGCTTTCAAGGAGTCTAAAAGAATTCTGGGATATTATCGGTGTCTAGACTACATTATACAGTCATCGGATAAAGTAAAAGTTTGAAGGAATGTCCGGGAAAAATGAAATTTTGCTTGGATCGTCAACGACCGATATTGCCTACGGAGAGTTAACATCATATATATTGCCGAGACTTTACGATTTATCGCAATTCGTACGTTGAATTGATTACATGTTTTTTGGCTTGTTCTTCTTTTGTTCAGAAATTGGTGACCGTACGATTAAAGGAATGTAGTGTACGTGGTTGTAAGAAAGATTCTTGGGTTTTCGGCGATGAAATCTTGAAGAACAATCAACTTACTAATGCGTCGTTCATCCAAACAGTGGTACAACATGTTTTACAACAGAATCGTATCGAGGTCAGACGTGATCTCTTGATGCAATTAGTCTTACGACAGCCTCGTAAACTTCGAAACTTCGGAGTTTCTTATTTTAGGTTCTCTAATAACGTCGAAGAAGCTTTGCGTGAGATATGCTTGACGGAAATCGTGGAGTCAACGTTAAACATGTGTATGCTCGAGTACTATTGCTTAAAGGTAAGGAGATAATCGACATTTCCACGTCATTGGGACTTACTCTCGATAAACCAGTATACATATAGTGAAAAACTACTATTTGTGAATTCGAATTGCAAATAGTAGTAGTTTTAAAAAGCGACGAAGATACGGTCACAACTGCACTTTCTCTATCTAATGTCGAGGATAGCTTCTCATGTTGTACGTGCAGTCTATATTTATAAGTATATGACCGTGCGGTATTAGCAGCGTTAACATCAATTACTTTTCATGTGACCAATTTTGAAGTGCCTATATTTTTTAAAATGTGTCCATAAGGAGAACCAATAGAAAATTGCATTTCTTTAAAACAATTGCAAACAAAATGGTTAACAAATATTTTGTTGAACTGAAATAATTCTATTAACTACTCTTAGATCTCCATTGTAAGCTCCCCCAAAGTTCATTTTAATCAGTTCGTCGGTCCAACAGTTATAATTTATTAAAAAACAGTTCACACTATATTTCGAACAGTTGTAAAATAAACAATTTAAAGAATTTTGAATAATCCTTCTAGACACGTTTCATTGAAGACTACAACCATCCATAATTATCCAAATTTGAATAAAATCCGAAACGGTACTCCACAAAGTGTCCGTTTCACGTGGAATGGCCCAAACAGTAGATTCTCTCAGATTGTTGGATTTGTTCTGCTTAATGTTAGTATCCGTTTCTCGGTGTTGTTCAGTTTCCGATTGGTTGCATTTATTTCTATGGCGGTGAAAATCAGGACGTCACGATTGGTATACATATACATGTCTATGTGGGTATGGTTATGATTTTATGACGAGAGCACATTGGGGCTTACAGTGTATTGTTTTTGGGATTCCAAGAGATCAGCGTTGAATTATACCAGATTTCCCCTAACGGTCAAAGGCACGGTCAGATCACGATCAGTCTGAATTTAGACTATATCTGTCTCATTAAACTACGTGTGAGCGATACAAATTTCTGCCTGATTTGATGTCATCTGATCGTACCGTGACGGTTAGTGTAAATCTGGCTTTAGAATAAATAGCTGTTTTAGGGACAGGTGTAGTAGCTAGCCAGGAATCCCTGTTCATAGCGGTTTGTCGATCATAGTAACGAACCCAAGACGATCTTTACAACTCTGTGCTATTTGTATGGATTCGCAACTCACAACATTCATACTAACGGAACGGTCTTCATTGGTGTCATTTTATTTCTAGGAATGGGAAAACAGCGACGCGATTGCAATACTCACGTATTTCACCTTGCTGATTTCCTTCACCTTCAAAGTATTGATATTTTGTTACATAGGTGAAGTACTCTCCGAACAGGTAATAACAAAAATGTTCCATTCGTCTAAACTTTCTGTCGATAATGCTGTATATACTTTGTCCTGTCATCGTTGTATACAAAATTTAACTTTGAGTTTATGCTTACAGTTCACAAATGATTATACAGGGTGTTCCGTAACTGTTTGGTATTGGAAAAGTGAGCCGAAAACACGGAATAAAATTGTTTCCTTTTCTTCAAACGATTAACCATGCCTTTTTACGAAAAACATATGTCCATGATGAACATTTTTTTTGGCGTCCACGGGGTATAGTGATACAATACGCATAAATACTTTTCATGCGTCATGTTTTTTTCCACCACTAAACTGAGAAAACGTTAAGAAAACGAAAGTAATAAGTGTTCGCCTTATGCCTTATGTCACTGTACTCCACAGAGCTCATAAAAATGGGGTACAGTGTAGAAATATTGGGTCAAAATTAGAACTTGGTTACATCAATAGTCTACTTACTTTTTACATACACGGGAAGATAGCCAGATCTTAAATTACAATAGGTTTGACAAAATAACGGTTGGAATTTATAGGTCTCGACCTATTAAGGACTGAAATAAGTGTCGCCTGCACTAAAGAGACATATACATATGAATAGTGCATAATCGTTATTTTTTCAAACCAATTTAACATCTGAGTAACGTCCTCTTGCTAGAATCATCATTGTTCCACTTACATCATCGGTTACGGTGCAACTTGTATAATGTCAAGAAAATTCTACGTACACTAGTTTTCCCTTTATCTTTGTTACAACGTTCCATCAGTGTAGCCAGATGGCTCCAGCTTCCTACAACGTCGAGTGGTACAATCTGCCGCCAAAAGAAGCCTATAATCTAGTTCTGGTCAGCGCCATATCTCTGTATCCGCCAAAACTCACGGCTGGGAACATAATCGAACTATCTCTAAACACATTCGCCGCTGTGGGTGACTTTATCCGTACTAATGATTCTCGATCGAACGAAAATTCTTTAAGATACCCAACTATTTTCAGGTGGTGAAGACGTCAGTGGTTTACCTGAATCTACTACGGACGGTCACTACTTGGTAACTGAACTACCACTTGTTATTATTATTGTTACACCACTGTTATTTTAAAATATGATTGAAATTTTCGTAGAATTTTCATATCGCCGACTTCGTCGACTGCATTTAGGAGAGGATATCCACTTTGATTGAACGTTTCTTCTTAAACCGAAGAATTCAATACAAATATTAGGTGACAAATTTTGTTAACTGCAGCATACAATTTACTTGATTGATGGTGGAGATGAGAAAAATAATTTGCCAATGTAAATATCTTTTAGAAACAGTAAACCGATCGACCAGCCCTTATTCTCCGCACTTCGCAGTAATCGGAACGTAAACTATGTGACCTCAACGAAAGTTTCGCACCCTCCCTACTTCCATCGGTCAGTCTCATAAAAATAAAAACAGTGTGTACACAGCCGCGATACCTTCTAAACGATAAACAAATACGAAACAATCATTAACCATTCATTCAACAATTCGAATCCTGACGCTCGCGTAAAGTATCCTCTAACGTCGTATCTACAGTTTCTGAAATCAGTTATTCTATGCCTATTAATTACCAGTTTTATGTGATTCAACACTCTGTCGGCGAACATGTTTTTTTCACTTGGTCGTGAACAAACTGGGTTGTTTATGTCCAGGTATAATTTTTAAAAGTTTTCGGCTTTGAAGGTCCAATTCCAATTAAGAAACGTTACGTCCCAAGTATGCCTCTACATCCGTACTTATGTGAAACAATCGACGTGAAATTGAATAATTATTGATATCTTTTAGCTTGTACTAATTTTATTACACAAAATAATATTAAATAAACTCTATATTCTATATTTCTCTATCTCTGTATTCATTACATAATTATTGCATGAATATGAAGAAGATTTCTCAAAGACACTTCTAGCTGCCATCGTTCCGGCGAATGTTGCTATCGCTAAATAGTATTTTTTTAGCGGAAAACTTGCATGCATCTTTATAAAGTTGATATACGAATTTGGCTTAAATGACTATCTTTCAATGCACCTGAAGGAAATGGGTGATTTTCACTGTAAATGAGATTACTTTACCTTACTCGACACTAGTACTTAACATAATCGATTTTATCGTCATGTTAGACAGTTCCTTGAAACGAGTAGCGTACACCGTGAGAGTTCCTTACTTTTGCAATAAAGGAAGGGCATACGTTAATAATTTTCATCTGCATAAGTAACGTCGAACATACCTATCAACAAAATCGCCCAGTTCATGTGCAACGACCCAATACATGAGACTTTTATTCCATCTTTCGTCCGAGTTTCGCTCTGAATTTCTTCGATATTCCAAAGAATCGTCCATACGAGCATCTCCATACATTATTCCCACAATCTATCTCTCCCCTCGATTTACGCTGTAATCGTACACGGTGAGCTGAAAACAAAGAAAAAGACGTCGATATTTCCCATCTCTACGTAATTTCACTCCACGTGCATGCAACATGGTTCATCATACGACATTCGTGTTCGCGCTTGCGTTCCAGGAATATTGGCACAGCCGCGTTGCCTGTCACCCGTGTCGTTCAGTCGCGGCCGTGCACCTGTATGACCAGCATGTATGCTCGATTATGCAGCCGAATAGACAAGAACCGTCTGAACAACAACGACCACGAGACCGATCTGAATTAAGGTCCAATTCCACTTAAAAAACGTTACGTCCCAAGTATGTCTCTACATCCGTAGTAACGTGAAACAATCGACGTGAACGGAAAGTCAATCGAAACAGGCCTCGCGATAAACGTGTCAAAGAAACCATCGCGTTCAACGTTCTCTCGTACAACTTCAAAAGTACCTCCGCAAAGCAAATAATCCCACCTTCTCATCCTTTCGATAAAACAACCTGTCTCGCTATATTTCGTGAACGACCATTCTATCGATTAGCTTGCAACAGTTGCATCATTAATATCATGGTAGGGCAACGAATTAAAAACCTTCGCGCACGCAGCAGCTTTTAGTAGAATCCATGCCCCAACTGTAAACTTACATTGCTCATTGAGCAACCATTCTCCGCGTAACGATCATGATGAAAGGTGATCGCGTGGACACAGTGAGCAATGTTCATCACGTCGAAGATTACAACTACAGTGTCCAGGTGAATCAGTGGATCCTGAAGCCGAGTGTGTTATACATTCTGTTTGAACAGGCCGACACACACACGAGAATGCAAGCGATCGGACCTATGAGCCACTGGATGCTGGGCGGCGTGAATTACTGTTGTCTGTCGCTGAAGAGCAAAGACATATTAAGTTGCATCGAACATTTGGAGACCGACTGGAAGATGGTCAAACGACCCAACGACCGTCAGCTGATGCTGAAGAACGCGAAGGTCGGTCGTTTGATCGTGAGCATTGCCGCCGTATGCATGAACGTCGGCGTGCTCTCGCATACTTTAATCGCAGGATTCAAAAGGGCGGTGTTCCAAGTTGGTAACGAAAGTTACTCGATGCTACGTCTGCCTTGCCCGGTCTACACGCAACTGATGGACGTTAGGTTCAGTCCACTGAATGAAATTGTCTTCTTCCTGCAATGTTGGGCCGGGTTGATCGTTAACTTGGTCACAACCGGCGCTTGCGGTTTTGCCGCGGTGTTCGCGATGCACGCCTGCGGTCAGTTGGATATCGTTATGTTGCATCTGGAGGAAATGGTCGAGCAGAACGAGGATCAACCGTCAGCGCAGAAGAAACTGGGAACTATGGTGGACATTCATTTACGAGCGTTAGAGTATTATGCTTATCTTGTTTGTTCATTACGGTCGATGATTGGTCCAGGGTGCGTAATGTGAAATAGGAACAGTCGAGTATTTAATATTAAGTGTACCGATATATAATTTACTATGTTCTCCTAAATTTGATATTCATTTTTCAGGAAATCAGAAGTTTTTTTTCATAGATATTCCATAATTTCTATGAAAAAAACAGATTGGATTAGGTTCTGAACTAAAATTATATTACAATTGAATTGAAACAATATGGTGTATTGCTTATTTAGAACACTTAATACTTTAATATGTTCACGTTACTTTGAGGTCGGGTTCACACTAGCTGTTGAAGGTCTGAATTTTGACTATATCTATTGGATTACGTTTGAACGATAAAGACCGCTGTCAAATATGACGTGATCTGACCGTATCGTGACCGCTAGTGTGACTCAGTGACGGTATCTCGGTGAACGTGTTCAGACCAAAGTTGTTTGCTCATCGTAAAGAATTATTCACTTTTATGACAGAAGGGAGTTGTATTGTACAGTGATCGATAAAAAAGATTAGTTAATTTATCAATTCCCCAACACAAAGCGTAATAAATTGTACAGTAATGAATTTCAGGAACATGTAATATACAAGCCGCATTACCTTCTCCCATCTAAATGCTTTTCTAAATTATACAGACCAGATTTTTGCTACGTTTATTATGTGTTAGATGGTTTTTTACTAACTTGACATAAATGCTGAAGAACTTTCGAGCAATTTTAACCGAGTTACCGTTCTTGTGTTAGCATTAATTGCGAAACAGCGTTGACAGTTCCTACTTCGCCAACGCATCCTTGTATATTAATAATTTCTTTTTAACCGAATACGATCAGCTGCTGGACATTGACTGTCCTGCTCATTGATGAATATGTTAATTTCAGTTTTGTATCGCATATAGAAAGTGTTATGCACATAACATGTCTCATTGAGTTAACGGAATGCACGCTGAACATGTGCATGCTTGAATACTATATGATTACGGTACGTTCAATGTTTTCGAGTATCAATTATTGAAATATTTTTTCGAGTAAGGAATCGAATCTGACATTTAAGTATCTTAAAAAAGTATTCTTAAATTAATTAAGGAAGAATACAGATACAAAGAATCTAAAATACCAAGAAATCGATGTTTTCTACCAACTTGTCTAGTATTTTTTTTGTTTACAATGTATTTTCACTTTCTAGGAAAACTCAAAGGAAACCGCAGCCGCGTACGGCATTATATACATATCCATGACATTTAATATTTTCATATTTTGTTATATTGCCGAGAAGCTTACGGAACAGGTAATGGATGATTGATAGAAAAGTCGTCTACTTGATCGTTTAGAATGATATAAACATTGAAAAACATGGTCTGTTACGCAAAAGTGCAAAATGGTGGGGGAAACAGCGTATATGACAGAGTGGTATCGTTTACCTTACAAAACTGCCGCCGGATTAATCCTGGTGATCTTGAGGGCGGGATCTGTTACGAGAATCACAGCCGGGAAAATATTACCAATGTCACTTTCAACGTTCGCTGACGTGAGTATCATAAAAGTGACGCAAATTCTTTACCCCTAATCGTTCAATCTGAAACATCTTTTTTTCAGGTTGTTAAAACGTCTTTCGTGTATTTGAACATGCTCCGCACAGTTGCGGAGTGAATTACTGTACCTATAACTTAAAATAACATTGTTCTGTATGAATTTATAGCTCCGTACAAATATCATAAGAAATAAATTCACATTATTATGTTAGAAATAACTTTGTCGGTAACATTTTCCATGTTTGTAAAGTAACGTTTCTTATTCTCTAGAGGGTATACCACCTTTGGCGTCTAACAATAAGTAATGTTTTGGAATTTTTTTCGTAGGTAATTACTAAATGAAAACTTTCAACTTTTCGAACGATATAAATCTGGCCTTAAGCTTTATTGTCTGATTTTTAAACAGTAACATTCTTACGAAATGGAGCAGTTATTTGCTAATTCCAAAACCTCTTGTCCTGGAACATCGACTACTAGCCGCCATGGTCGACAAAAACTAGAAGGTCTGAAACAGAAAATGCTTATTGATTTATACATAAGAATGTATTATATACAATGTGGTTATTACGTATGAAGAATTTTCTATCATACCTCTGGCTCTAATAATCTCAGCTCGCACCCGGCAAAGGAAAACGCCCTTACCTTTTCGTTATCTCTCGAGTAAGCGAGTGCGTAAAACTCTTTTCCACGGCGTGGTAACCAAAAACTAGGAAGTATGACGCAACCTCAACTGTCAATGATTTACTTATATGGAAATTTCATAGCATCCCCACCAATTTCCAGGCCTATATAAACCCGTTGATTTCAACCCTCGGGGATCAGAACTGTACCGTCGCCTTTAGAATCACGTCGCTTCACGTTTTTGTGAGTTGGTCATTACGTTACTGAGATCGGGCTAATTATTCCGTAAAATCCACTCACAACCCCCGCATCGCCAGTGCGTTAACACCGAGAACCTATTTATTTCGGTAATAGTTATTATTTCATTATTACTTACTACTACTCGACAACACTACACAACACATTTGTAACCAAAAACTGATTAATTATACTGTTATTTTATAAATCTGGGAAGTTCATTTTGAATCCATAACACAATACAGAAATCTGTAGTATTATCGATATACTAGTTTCCTCTAATTTAGAATAATATCAGGTCAGCCTTTTCCACACTAATACAACTTTACCGCTCGAGTTGTATTAATTATAAATTCAATGGTTACAAAGCACTAACTAACATTTCCTAACGACTCCCAGATTTTACATCAGGTTCGTCCGTGCATTACATTTATCCAAGAGTATTTCCAACCCAGTTGCTCTCCGATTTCGCATCGGATTCGTCCACGAAAGTTTACCAATCCTGCGGCTCCCTGATTTCGTATCAGGTTAATCCCCGTTTTCAAACATCCTAGCGGCTCTCGATTTTTAATTTCACAGAGAATATTATACCACCAATATCACTAGCAAAAACTCATTTAAAAGACGCGTGTTATGTTACTTCACCAGAAACTGTACTTACGGTGTGAACGTCGCGACTGCTCTCACCACGCATTAAAGTCACCGGCGGCGGAGGTGTGTAGTGCGTATTATGCGCACAACTCTATTATAACAATCAAACATTTAATACATGAAGATTCTCTTTTTATATTCGTTGAGAAGTATTTAATCATTTTCTAATTGTACTGTCATCGAAATTACAATTGACAATTGAGTGCGCCTCGTTAAAAAAAATTTTCCGATTATTGAATCGTGTATGCGAGTTTGAAAATAAATCTGTGTAGAATCTGAAATAGAACGTGTATTAACGGAATCGTTCATAAAATACAATATTTCAAAGTAATTACGCATGGACACATAATATTATGTTTTATGTTATCATTTTATTTTTCACTGAAAATTTATATAATAGTATAGAAGCTCTTGCTTCATAGAATTGAGGTAATACACATCACTATATAAACTTTTTTCATAAGAACACATAGAACACATGGAATAATCATAATCACGGAAAGTTACTGAAAAGTGTATAAAAGTTTGGAAGTTATTGATCTCCCAATAGTTATTCCATAATTTGCCACTTTCTTTACAGAAATATCAAGATAATAAGAGAAACACGTATTGTTCCGTCGGTTTTAGTAATCGACGCCGTGTCGCACGCCAAATTAATATTGTGCGACTGATGACAAAATCTTTCTTTAGAGTAACTGATTACTCCTTAAAGGTACTATGTAATTTCATTTTTGTAGGATATGGTTACAAATGACAAGTTTTAAATCGAGTGTTTTATATCGAGTGATTTTTATCTAGTGTCGCGGGTCGTGCGAATAACGCTATATATATATATATATATATACATATTTGTCAATACTCTCTGTCTCTCAGTCACTCTGCCTGTCCTGTAGGTTGCGAGCTGCTGATAGATCGCTGGTTTGAAATTCTTACTGGGCCATTGACCTTTGGTTATTTGGTGATCTATCGGTCAGCTGTCGATACAAACAGTGCACTCACACACGCAAGCATACCGGACACATACGCCTGAACTGAGCAACTAACCTCCGAAATGTTTTCATTTTGGGTCTTTGACACGTCGCTCAGGTGGTAACTGACCGTCATCAGACTAACCACGAGTTAACACTCACCGCCGTGTCGATCACCAATGACCGACACAGAACTTTCCCATCACGCTCGTATCCAATACAAATTCCACATAAAATTATGTCACATAAAACAATCAAGTTGAACGAAGTCAATCGAAACAGTCCTCACGATGAACGTGTCAAAGACACTGTCGCGTCCAACGATCTCTCGTACAACTTCGAGACAATCTCCGCAAAACAACAAATATCACCTTCTCGTTCCTTCTACACAAGCCTGTCTCGCTATACTTCATGGACGACCATCGGATCGATCAGCTCGCAGCAGTTGCATCGTTAATACCGTGGTTGAACAGAAAAAAGCAAAAAACCGTCGCGCACGCGCCAGCTTCTACTTGAATGCACGCCGCATCGGTGAAATCGCATCGCTCATTCAGCAACCGTCCTCCGCGTAACGATCATGGTGAACGGTGCTCGCGTGATCACAGTGAACAACGTTCATTACGTCAAGGATTATAATTACAGTATACAGGTGAATCGTTGGTCCCTGAAACCGATCGGGATCTGGCCGAGTCTCTCCGAGTTCAGCAGAGCCGAAAGTATCCTCTCGAGGCTAGCCACGCGTTGATCGTGTTCACGGTCGTGCCATGCGTGTTGTACATTCTGTTCGAGGACGAAAGTATGCACATCAGAATGAAAGCGATCGGACCTATGAGTCACTGGCTGATGGGCGAGCTGAATTACTGCAGTCTGTCCCTGAAGACCAAAGACATACTACGATGCATCGATCATATGGAGACCGACTGGAAGACGGTCAAACGACCGCACGACCGTCAGCTGATGCTGAAGAGCGCGAAAATCGGCCGTATAATCATGACCGTTGCCGCGTTGTGCATGAACATCGGCGTGTTCTCGTACAATTTCGTCACAGGATTAAAGAAGACGGTGCTCCACGTTGGTAACGAAAGTTACTCGACGCTACGTCTACCTTGCCCGTTTTATACGAAACTGATGGACGTCAGGTACAGTCCAGCCAATGAAATTGTCTTCTTCCTGCAATGTTTCTCCGGATTGATCGTTAACTCGGTCACGGTCGGCGCTTGCGGTTTGGCCGCGGTGTTCGCGATGCACGCCTGCGGTCAACTGAATATCGTTATGTCACAGCTGGAGGATTTGGTTGAACGGAACAAGGATCAACCGTCCGCACAGAGGAAAATGGCGTCTATAGTGGACATTCATTTACGAGCGTTAAAGTATTGTTCTTATCTTGTTTATTCGTTACGGTCGATGATTGATACGGGGTGCGTATTCTGAAGTAGGAACGGCCGAATAATTAATATTGGGTGTACCAATAAATAATTTACTATGTTCTGCTAAATTTAATGTCCATTTTTCAAGAAATCAAATGTCTTTGCGACTGCAATGATATGAATCCTCGTTATATAACCTGTAGTATAGGTATATATTATATACCTATACTACCTGCATCTCCTGTAATGTAAGAAAATTTATTTTACTACAACATTTGACCTTGCATGACCTTCAATGATAGCTTGCTGAAGTCGTCTTCACACCGGCTATCACATCGCAATAAAAAACATAGCATTCCATTAAAAAAAAATGCTATGCCTTCACCCACGCAGAAAATGTTTGTGTCACATTATGCCCCCCTCTATACCGTGTAAGTTTTGTATATAACATTTTTTCATATTATTACAAATAACAGCAATATTCAAAGTGGACATAGTTATTGTCCCACCCTGTATATTAGATGCTTCTCTTTACTAACTTGACATAAATACGGAATAACTTTTGCGCGACATTAACCGAGTCGCCATTCTCGTGTAAATGCCCGATCAGTTGCAAAACAGCGTTGAAAGTTCCCACTTCACTAACGCACCCTATGTATTAATAATTTCTTTTTAACCGAATGCGTTCAGCTGTTGCACAATACGTAAATGGAACCGTTCATCTCATTTATGAATATGTTAATTTCAGTTTTGTGTCGCATATAGAGAATGTTATGCACCTAGTATGTTTCGTTGAGTTAACGGGATGCACGCTGAACATGTGTATGCTTGAATACTATATGCTTACGGTACGTCCAATATTTTCGAGTATCCGTACAATCAAATTATTCACTGTCAATTATTAAAATATTTGTTCGAGTAAGGAATCGAATCTAACATTTATATATATTAAGAAAGTATTCTTAAATTGATTAAGGAAGGATACGTATACAAAGTATCCGAAATATGTACCCAGAAATCTGTATTTTTTGCCACCTTATCTGTTATTTCTTTGTTTATAACATATTCTCACTTTCTAGGAAAACTCAAAGGAAACCATAGCCACGTACGGCATTATATATGCATCCATGACATTTAATATTTTCATATTTTGTTATATTGCCGAGAAGCTGACGGAACAGGTAATGGATGATTGTTACAAATGTCGTCTACTTGATCGTAAAGAAATATTTAAACACTTAAAAACATGGTGTGTTACGCAAAAGTGCAAGAGGGTTGGAGAAAAAGCGTATATGACAGAGTGGTATCGTTTACCTCACAAAACTGCCGCCGCATTAATCCTGGTGATCTCGAGGTCGGGGCTGATTACGAAAATCACTGCTGGGAAAATATTGCCCATGTCACTTGCAACGTTCGGTGACGTGAGTATCATAAAAGTGACGCAAATCCTTTATCCCCAATCGTTCAATCTGAAATATGTTCTTTTCAGGTTGTTAAAACGTCTTTCATGTATTTGAACATGCTCCGCACAGTTGCGGTGTAAATTACTGTATAGCTTAAAAATAACGTTGTTCTATATGAATTTTTAAATTCGTAAAAATATTATGAGAAATAAATTCACATTATTCTATTAGAAATGACTTTGTCGGTAACATTTTTCTTATTTGAAATTCACCGTCCCTTATTCTTAAAAGGGTATACCACCCTAAAGTGTGAAACATAGGTAAAGTTTTGCATTCTTTTTCGTAAATAGTTACTAAATGATTATTAATATTTGAACATACAAATATAGTCTGCATACATGGATTGACAACAAACTAAATTTAAACTTAAGTGTTATCAAAGCATGTAAACCAGAATAATCATGACTTCTATCAACTGTTTTTCCCTTACATCGCATTTTTTTTTTAACTCCTTAAAGGGTAGACATATTCTGCGGCCAGATTTAAATTCAGCTTGTCAAAGTCTATAGGAAATGATGTATAACAATTCGAAGAAAAATTTCAATCACACGTTATAACGGAAAAACCGCAATTTTCTTCAACAATATCAAGGTCAAAACTTACGTATCATCTTTTTACCGCAATTTTTCCAAATTCTGCAATATCTTAGCTTTACTCTCGGAAAATCTTCATCCGTCTATCTTACATCTATCAAATGTTCTACGATTTTGACACAAAAATGAGCAGTTTGTTCCAGGGCGCGCCGCGGGTCGCTTACCTGAAATGGGAGTACATTTACGCCAGTCACTGTTACAGCTCCTTGTCAGGCAAATTTTAATTGGTCCACCTTTCTGAAGAGTTCAGTTTGCCGGTAAGATTTCAAGGAATATGACCTTTTTTTTAATTTAAACGGCCCTTGCCCCTCACAGAGAAAATCGCGAGAAAAGAATTTGTTTATATTTTTCGGTATCAAAGAATCAATTTTTTACATAACAAAAAAATAGTACAGTAGGGAAATCTTTCCAGATTAAAATAATGGACGAACAAACTCGATACAGTAAATAGTGTCGGAGATATAAATTCTTAATTACATCGCTTTTTCACGAAAATAGGCAACAATCGTAAACTTCGGCGGCCTGTATTTTTCAAAGAAATTCGGGAACAGAAAAAGCATGACTTAACCCCCCCCCCCTACCTTAATTACACGTAGACTACAACATATTTAATTTTGAACAAAGTTGCTGACAGAGAGTGCATTACGCTGTACTTCCACCATCCGTCAGAATTTCGTTCCGATCTTCTTCGACCTCGCAAAGAATCGTGCATACGACCATCTCCATGCATTATTCCCACAACCAATCGCTCCCCTCGATTCACGCTAGAATCGTACACGGTGCGCCAAAAAAGAAACGTCGATATTTCCCGTCTACATAATTCTAGTCCACGTGCATGCAACACGGTTCACCATATGACATACGTGTTCGCGCTTGCGTTCTGCGAACATTCGCACAGCCGTGCCGGCTGTCAACCGAGTTGTTCAGTCGCGACCGTGCACCTGCATGATCAGCATGTATGCTCGATCATGCAGCCGAAGGGACAGAACCGTCTGAACAATTACGACCACGAGACCGATTTGGATTACACGTTGGAAATGTGTCGATGGTTGTTAACGCCGATCGGCGTGTGGCCGCTTGTGAAGAAATGCGCGGGCAAACACGAGAGAGCAATGTCGATTGTCTTATTACTCGTATGTTTCACGTGTCTGCTCTTCGTCATCCTGCCATCGGGATACAATATCTTCTTCGTCGAAAAGAGCATGCAGAATAAGGTGAAGCTGCTCGGCCCGGTTGGCTTTTGCCTGTCCTCCGCCATCAAGTACTGCTACCTGGTTGCAAAGGGCACTGTATTCGGGCGTTGCATCGAACACGTACAGAAGGATTGGCAAACGGTGGAGCAACCGTGTCATCGTGACATCATGCTGAAACACGCGTCCCTCAGCAGACAGTTGATCGCTATTTGTGCGATCTTCCTGTACACTGGCGGCATGTCCTATCACACGGTGATGCAGTTCCTGTCGAAGGACAGAAGCAAACGGAACTTCACAGTGAGACCGTTGACTTATCCATGCTTCGACACGTTCCTTGATACTCAGTCCAGTCCCACGTACGAGATCGTGTTCTCCGTTCACTGTGTCGCCGCTATGATCATGTACAGCGTGACAACCGCCGCGTACAGTCTCGCCGCGACTTTCGTCACTCACATCTGCGGACAGATCCAGATACAAATGGCCAGGCTGGAGAATCTGCTGGGTGACAGTCGGGAGAAGAGTAGCTTCCACGATCGTATGACCGTCATCGTACGAAGCCACGTTCAGGTGTTGAGGTAACTGTGTGTCGGTTGGTTTGAAAATGTTGGAGCCGCAAGGAACGTTATGATGCATCGTACAATGATTTGTGCAACATTGTATCGTGTAATTGTTCCAAGGACAATCGTAGCATTTAAGTTAAGGGGTCGTTAACGAACGACTAGTACGACGAGGTTGGATGAACGACAGATTGGAAGAATTTTCTGGAAGATTTACATTCTGTGCATGCGAGTGAGATCTTTCTTGTAGTTGTCACAAATTTCTGTGATCCAACACTTGTTAGGGGAATATGTTTTTGCACTTGTTCGTAGGCAAACTGGGTTGTGTATGTGCAGGCGTAATTTCTTACGGTTTTAAGCATTGAAGGAGTTCGAAAAAATTCTAGGATACTTATCAATGTCACAACAACATTATACAATCGTTCGTCCAGTAAAATTTTTGAAACTTTTTTCAATAAAAATGAAAATTCGACGGAAAAATGAGACGTTCGCTTGAACCGACGTCGACCCATATTGACTACATAGGAAGGTATAACATCATACATATTGTCGAGCCTTTACGATTTATCGCAAAATGATTCGTACACTGAATCGCAACGATTGGCTTGTATTTTGTTTTATTCAGAGATTTAACGATCTATCGTAAAATTAAAGGTGCCAGGTTAAGAGAAAGACGCAAATCTTAGGTTTCCAGAGCTGAAATCTTGAAAAACAATCGACATACTAATCCGTCGTTTATCCAAACAGTGACACAACAGATTTTGTAACGGTTTCGTACAGAGGTCAGACATCATCTCTAGATGCAATTAGTCGTACGGCAGCATTGTACACTTTGAAATTTCAGATTATCTTATTTTAGGTTCTCTAAGAACGTCGAGAAAGCTTTGCGTGGGATATGCTTGACGGAAATCGTGGAATCGACGTTGATTATGTGTCTGCTCGAGTACTATTGCATGATGGTAAGGAGATAATCGACATTTCCACGTCGTTGCGACTTCCTCGCGATAAACTACTACAATAAGTGTGATTGTGAATGGCACTGCAGTCTAATTTACAATAATTGGACATGGCTTGGTAACACAACAGTTGAACTAACAAACTGATCGAAACGAACTTTGTGGATGCTTACAGTGCAGACAAAGAGGGCTTAATAAAAAATGATTTCTGTCAAGAAGAAATTTTTTAATCATTTACTTTGCTATTGTTTTCAAGGAATGCAATTTTACAATAGTAGGGCACTATTGAAAAATGTGAAAAAAATGAGGATATAAGTAGTCGTATTTGTCCTCTGTATAGACAAGTTTTAAAAAATGTTTTTATTTCAAAATTGGCTATATGAAAATTAATTGAAGTTAACCGACAGAGTTGTGCGATACGAGTAGCGTTAACTACAAATACTTTTCATATGGCCAATTTTGAAGTGTCCATGTTTATTACTATGTATCCATAAAGAGAACAAATAGGACTACATCCTCATTCTTTCAATTTTTTAAAATGGGTTCTACTGTTATACAATTTCATTTCTTTAAAAGAATTGTAAAATAAATGGTGAAAAAAATATTTTTTTTAACTGAAATAATTTTGCAACTTGCAACATTGGTACTAACGGTCCTTATTGCTGTCATCTTAATTCTAGGAATGGCGAAATAGCGACGCGATCGCTATACTCACGTATCTCACCTTGCTGATCTCCTTCACCTTCAACGTATTAATATTTTGTTACATAGGTGAAGTTCTCTCCGAACAGGTAATTCTAAAAATGTTCTATTCATCTGATCTGTCGATCGGTTGTGCTCTATAAACTTTGTCCTGCCATCTTTGTATACAAAATGCAACTTTCAGCTTATACTTACAATTCACAATACGCTATACAGGGTGTTCCGTAATTGTTTAGTCATGGAAAACTGAGCCGAAAACACGGAATAAAATTGTTCCCATACTCGTTCCGTTTTCCAGACAATTGAGTATGAATTTTCACAAAATATGCCCATGATGAACTGGATATTTTTTTGGCGTCTAGGGGGTATAGTGACGCAACGCGAGTGTCTCTTGATCAACTTATACGAAAATATGTCTTGTCGAAAAAACTGGAATATCTGTTCGGTCAAATCTGCATAAATATATTTGACGTGTTAAGATTTTTCCTACCACTAAACTGGGGAAGTATTACAGAAACGGAAGTAATACGGTTCGTATTGGTTCTAACATTGGACATTATGCATCGTAGAAACGCGTCTCCACCTACGTAAAGCGAGAAGTGTTCACCCTGCGTCGCTATACTCCACGGACCTTATAAAAATATGGTACAATATCAAAATGTTCGGCCAAAATTAGTACTTAGTTATCTCAATAATCAACTCACTTTTCACTTACACGGGTAGGTAGCCAGATGTTAAATTAGCTTGGACAAAATAACGGTTAGAAATTATAGGTCTCGAATTATTAAGGACTGAAATAAGTGTCGCTTCCACTAAATAGACATATATGAATAGTGCATAATCGTTATTTTTTCAAAACCAATTTAACATCTGAGTAACGTCCTCTTGCTAGAATCATCATTGATCCACTTGCATCATCGGTTACGGTGCAACCTGTATAATGTGAAAAAATTCCTCGTACACTGGTTTTCTCTTTGTCTTCGTTACAACATTCAATCAGTGTAGCAAGATGGGTCCAGCTTCCTACAACGTCGAGTGGTACAATCTGCCGGCAAAAGAAGCCCATAATCTAGTTTTGGTCAGCGCCATATCTCTGTATCCGCCAAAACTCACGGCTGGAAAAATAATCGAACTATCTCTGAACACGTTCGGCACTGTGGGTGACTTTGTCCGTACTAACGATTCTCGATCGAACGAAAATTCTTTAAGATATCTAACTATTTTCAGGTGGTGAGGACGTCGGTAATTTACCTAAATCTACTAAGGACGGTCACTACTTGGTAACTGAAATACCACTTGTTATTATTATTTTAGCAATACTGTTACTTTAAAGTATGGTTGAAATTTTTGTAGACTTTCCATGTCACCGACTTCGTCGACTGCATTTAGGAGATGATATCCACTTTGATTGAAAGTTTCTTCTTAAACCGAAGAACTCAATACAAATATTAGCTGACAAACATTGTTAACTGCAGCATACAGCTTACTTGAATAAAACGTCCGATGTCTATTTTTAGATTCATGCTGTACTGATTTGTATACATGGCCTACTGCATTGTTATAATAAGGGTTTAAAAAATCTAGCGACATTGAAGCGTGATTAGTGTAATTGATGGTGAAGATGAGAAAAGTAATTTGCCAATGTAAATATCTTTAGAAACAGTAAACCGATCGACCAGCCTTTATTCTACGAACTTCGCAGTAATCGAAACGTAAACTATATTACCTCAACGAAAGTTACGCACTCTCCCTACTTGCATCAGTCTGTCTCATAAAAAAAAGACAGTATGTACACAACCGCGATACCTTCTAAATGATTCTCCGAACTTTTTACCGCCATATTCACAGTTTGTCGCAATTATCCTAGGGGTAGTGCGTACAATTCCCTGCACGATACATCTCATTTCGAGCAAACAAACACGAAACAAAGATTAACGATTCATTCGACAAATTGAGTCCTGAGCTTCGCGTGAAGTATCCTCTAACGTCGAGTTTATAGTTCCTGAAACAAGTGTTGGAGCGTTAAAGAAGTAAAAACCGATCTTAAGTCCAGCTTCAAACAGCAGTAAAGTCGACAATTTTAAAAATGTGGAAAAATCCTTCGAGATACGTTTATACATATATCACTAAAGACTATAACATATTCAAGTTTCAACAAAATTCGAAGTGTTATTCCAAAAAGTGTTCGACTTCGCGTTCAGTAACTCGGCTACAAATCGTGTGTCGTCCACAGTACGCGTTTTGCTTTGCACTAATCTACACTAAGAAGGTAAATGACCGAACTGCTTTTCCTGCTCCCATAGTTTTCTCTTTCTCCGCCCCTATAGTTTGCTCCTTCCAGAAGAGAATAGTGTAGAAACATCGGCAAGACTTCATGCAGGGGTATCCCTACTGGTGCCATTGAACTGTTAAACTGTTAATTCTTTAAAGAAATGCACGAATAAATGATGTATTTTCTTTCTCTCGGGAAATTCTTCAACGGTCAGTTGAGCTAAAATAAATTCCTTAAAGAGATAACAGTTAACTGTTGCACAATTACCATAGAACAAGAAAATACAGCACTCATAATTGAATACAAAAAGTTGATCTAATATTAGAGCACAGAATCATCTAACATTCAAAGTTAAATTCTGCACAAAAATACTTCGCGTCTTTAGATCAGCTATCGTGCAGAGACAAGCTCGAACGTGGAGAACGACACTGTCTCGTCAAATCGACCTCCCCATAATTAAACAATGCACAGAAAAAAATTGTGTACCTCTATCGATTTCCACAACCCCCGTTACAGTTGTTCCGAACAGACCTACAACAAAAAGTTACTAATGAGCAATCTCGCAATGTTAGTCACATTCATCAATGCAAGCAGGTAGACACGCACGCGTAGATACAATACCATGCGACAACATTCTGTCTCGCTGTTCAGTCGACACCGTCCACTGTACTCGTGTTCATCATGCGTGACCAAGCTGATAAGCACTCGAGCTATCCAACTTACAAAGATGACGCAAATTATGTTCTGGGATACTGCCGAAAGCTGTCGCGAATAATCGGTTTATAGGCGCTCTTGTACGACCCTGTCAACAAGAAGGAGAAAATCGCCTCGATTATGTACATAGTACTATGCTTCGCCGTTCTGCTGTTCGCGACGATACCGCCCTTTTATTATGTAATATTCGATGAAAAGAACACAAACAAACGATTATGGGCATTAGGTTAGGTCGGATATAACGTCACGTCCACGATCAAGTACCTATTCATGGTGTACAATGCAAACCTTTTCAAGAATTGCCTCATTCGCGTGGATCAAGACTGGCAGATAGTGCGGGAACCCAGTCATCGAGAGATAATGCTAAAGAAGTAACCATCTATCGGAAGGTGAGTTTCTATTACCTAATAACTTTTTACGCCGCTACCGGGTTCAATAACACCATAATCCCGTTTCTCGCACCGCGATGGCACTCGAACAACACGAAGAAGATGTTACGAGTGCCCGGCTACGACAAGTTCTTTGACACCCAATCCAGTCCCACCTTCGAAATCTTATACTCCCTTCAATTATTCTCCAGCGTCATCAAGATAACCAGCACCGTGGTAGCGACCATTCTGATCACGACTTGTGTCTGTCACATCTGCTCCCTGATGCAGATACATATCATGCAGTTGAATCATTTTGTCGAAAATAGACAGAACTTAGATGATCGTCTTAACCCTTTGACCATGATCGTTCATGAACATGCCGAAACTTTGAGGTAATGAAATTGATCCAGGTGAGATTTAAACCTTTCATTGTATGCTTTACGAAATCCTCTGTACATACACTCATACGTCGTTCGATATGAACATTTTAGATTTGCTTATTTGTATTTTTATGGAATAAGAAATTCATCGTATCATTATTTTCATAACTAATTTTAGAGTGGACAAATAAAGAGATTATCAGAGAAATGCTGTTGATGATGTATACATATACTAGTTCCGTCGTATCCTTACCTCCGACAATATAGCCGTTCACGATCATGTCCTCGGCTCTTAATCGTGATCCATCGATCCATCTTTAATCCTGCTACGATTCTCAGTCTAGGTATGCATTCGAAGTAATGACAAGGAAGGAAAAACACGCAGATCGGTAACAATTTTCTTAGACGTTTCGCAAACCTAAGAACATTTCTGAAGAGACGAGACTAAGACCAAGTCGAAAAAATATTTAAAGTCGTAACAACGTTAAAGAAACCGAAAACGTGAGTTCGGCGAAATGGACCTGAAGACAAAGTAAAAATTGTTAGGGTTGAATTAATAATTTGGCTGATATTAAACAATTTCTATCTTCTGAACCGAAGTAAATGATAAATAATTTAAATAACTTAGAAAAAATACCAGTTTAATACATAACGATTACTACTATAATATTTTGAGGTGTTATCAAGGAACATCTTATTAAACAGATTCATTACTCACGCTACGTTTAGATTTGAGAATTAAAACCGAATTTCATTTCATTAAGCTAGAATCTGTGAATGAATTATTCCATTGTAAGTTAAAAGCATAATTTCAATAATATCCAATAAAGTAATATCTGCGGTCAAACTGCAGAAAAACTGCCTACTCTCCCATTTCGATAATTTTTACATATGTTGTAAAACTCTACATTTTGAACTACTTTTTCCTATACATACAACGAGGAAAGTTACTTAGTTTCCGAGATATTCGCGAAAAACTGCCAGTACTAGCATATTGAATTCTGCCTATAGTTATGTTTATTTGACTGCAACAGAATAACGATTCATTTTTAGCAGAGTCATTAACGTGAACGGACGTTTAGTTTCATAGAATTGCAAATCGATTAGTACCTATAATACTTCAGAGTTGGTCAGAGACAGTTATTTTTTTTCTTGAACTGTCTCTAACTAACTCCGATCAATACAATAATGCTTCAGAGTTGATTAGGTACATTTAAAAAAAAAAAGTAATTCGGAGTTGGTTGTTTTTTTTCTTAATCTGTCTGTAACTAACTCCGATCAGTATAATGTTTCAGAGTTTATTAGAGACAGTTCAAGAAAAAAAGTAATCCAGAGTTGGTTAGAGACAGTTCAGGAAAAAAAAGTAATTGTCTCTAACCAACTCTGAATTACATTTTTACTTGAACTGTTTCTAATCAACTCCGTTCAGTATAATGCTTCAGAGTTTATTAGAGACAGTTCAAGAAAAAAAGGAATCCAGAGTTGGTTAGAGACAGTTCAGGAAAAAAAGTAATTGTCTCTAACCAACTCTGAATTACATTTTTACTTGAACTGTTTCTAATCAACTCCGTTCAGTATAATGCTTCAGTTCGGCAGTTTTTCGCGAATATCTCAGAAACTAAGCAACTCCCCCCGTTATACGAATAGGAAAAGTTGTTCAATTGTCGAGTTTTACAACATATCCAAATATCATCCAAATCGGAGGGTAGGTAACTTTTCTACAGTTTCATCATATTTTTCAGATGTTTCACAATGAATGTTATATTTCTATTCTACTTTACTGTATTGTACAATGCTTACATTCCACGAAAAAGATCCAAAGAAATTATAATTAATTAAGACAAAGTATTTACTCACAACTCCAACGTTTCGTTCACAGTATCTGCACGTACGACGCTTGCGTCGTGCCGCAACCAATGATTGGAAAACGAGATCGATGGGCGTGGCGACGCCGGCGCAGAATCTGTGGGTGTGTCTCTAACTATCCAAGGTGAGACAATAAATTCTATACTCGTTTATTCAATGGTATCATTACCATTGAAACAAAAACTGCACCCAGCTACATAGTGTTTCTACAGAACGCAACAGAATATTGAAATTTGAACGTCTCTTAAATTTACTGCGTCAAATCATGTGACTTGTACTTACATTGGTGTTTAAATATTGAACCGTGTAGAACTTGAAATACAGCGTGTAATAACAAAAATTTTTGTAAAATACAATATGTAAAATTAATTACACGTGGACACAGAATACTATCTTACCTATTTTTATTTTATTATTTCATTTTTCACGAAAACTTTTATATAACAGTGAGAAACCATTTATATCACAGAAATGAGGTAACACACATCGCTATATGAACTCTTTTTATTTGTATGTCGGATTCACCCGCCTACTATCATCTACGTACACGTAGTGTTTCTTCTCAAGAATTCTTTTTCGAGAATTTCTTGACAAAAAGTAAAGTTTTTGATTTCTCATTTCTCGAGAAATTTTTCGAGAAATATCCTATAATATTTGTAAAGTATAAAATAGAAGATTAAA